ATTTTTAACAAGCTTTGACCTGTACTTCAAATAAAAATAATTAACCTTTATGTTGGTATCATCCGATTTCAAGATACTGTATGTGTACCTGAAATGATTCTTTTTTGTCAATTTCTCCTTCAGACACTGGATTTTTAGATCATGACCTTGTCCATGTATGTGAGCGTTGGTTGTTTTCGACGAATGTTTCATTATTACCGCATTTGGAAGAATCAATTATATTTAAATTCGTTCAATTGGAAGATTGCCTTTCATTTCACTTAATTTTGAACTGCTGGAATTGATGATCATAATTAGTTTGTTCATGCACTCATTCATGATTCATCACAAAAATCAACAGATGTGACCAGAAATCACTTAATGAATTCATCAAATCAAATGAATCCAAACTTGAAGGAAAGTTTCTCAATTTTTTCTGATGAGGGATATTTTAACAATATTTTTTGTTTCAATTACACCATTGATCGTACTGTCAATGTGTTGTGCAGTACTTCAAAGTGTCACTATGTGAGGTTCAAGTCCTTGATTGAGTTAACAAAACATAGCAGAAGCAGTACATAATTTTTTTTAATTCCTGAATTCTATTCTAGTTAAACCTTAATAACCCAAGCCTCCCCATACAAATCAAATATCTCCCTATTGTGAATTTTTGTCAAGTCTCTAAATTCCCTCAAGAACAAGGCATTGAGAACCTCCTTCCTCAAATTTCCATAATTTGAATTGTTTCAACGACTTTTGGCTATTATTTCATTGACCAAAAAAAGTGTAACAATGTTTTCTGGTAAGAAGTCAAAGACTAAATTTTCAAATGAACCCTTGTCCCCAAAGCTAGGTATTTTGTCACCTCATTTAAGAAGAAATGCAGTCCAAGAGTTTGAACCTATAGTTCCTTCCATCCCAGCAAAAAAAAAAGGGCATTAGAAATCTTTTGGCCTGGGTGCACCCATCCCCCATGGCATTTGCTGATTCGTTCATTTGGCTTCTTCTGAAACCCAAATGGTCAACTTCTGGAGTTAGCCCAGACCCATTTATTGAGGCATTAGAATTGAAGCCAATCTCAGCACCATACTGAATGGGTTAACAAATGGATACGGGCTTACTCTCAAATGATGTGCATGATTCACAACTGATTTGCATCTACATATTCTTCTCCCCCCCCCCCCCACCCCCCAAACAAAAATGCTCATTTCCTTCCTCAACTTGAATTGTTTGCTGTTCCTTCAAGTTTGACTTGAATCAGAGCTTCTAATATTGGTGCAATTTTTAAAACCTGCAAAAACTTAGTAACTCCCTTATTATACCATATTTACTCAAGTACCATGTGCACTTTTTTTTCTCAAATTTCAGAAGAAAAAAAGGGGTGCATGTCATAAGCTGGTACAAATTTTCCAAAGAAGTTTCAGGAAGTTATGTGTGCATTATACTTAATTATAATGGAGAAATTTGGAACAAATGTAACAAGATAACTTTTTTGTACTGAAATGGTTGAAAATTGATCAGATTTTTGTTCAGTTCATGTCTTTAGTCAATTTTTTGATTTTATTTTTGAAATTTTGTGGTTTCAGATTCACTAAAAATTGGGGTGTGCATCTCAATTGGGGGATAAGATTTTAGCAAAATTTCCAACTGAAAAACCCCTGTGCGCGCCTTACTCAAGAAAATAAAGTACTTGGTTATTGAAATGCCGTAAGAACTCGCAAGACTCGCAGTAAAATCCGCACAGACACATGTATATATCATCTCTCCCAGACTATTTTCCCGCACGAAAGCAACACCCATCAGAATTTCAATCTCCCGGATGCCTCCCAGGAATCCAAAACTTTCTCCACGTGTCTTCCGAGATCCGCTTCTTCCGCCTTTGCTCGTTCCGCCGCCTCTTTATCCACAAACTCCTTCACGTAATGTGGCGGCAATTTCTTGCCTTTCCAGTATAGCGGATAGTAAAACTTGTTGAGTCGTTCCAGGAAATCCGCCACTTCCTGTCTGGGACTATACCGCTCCCCGGCTTGTATAAACTCGTTGATTTCCGCTTGCAAAAATTTCTCTTTCCGCAATTCGCGAATGCGTCGAATTTTCAAGATGGCCGCGCGGAATTTGCGCCGCCACTTGGTCAGCTTGTGCTTTTTCATCTTGCGTCGGCGAACGATTCGCATGCCAAACGGCTTTTGCGGATTGGGTATCAGCGAGCGGTTTGGAATCACTGAGGGTTCGAAGAAGTTTCGGAACAATTTGCAGGACGACACTGACGGTGAAGAAGGCGTGGACAATGTGGAGAAGCTCCTGAGATGAAGATCCTGATGGTTGGCCAATAATTGGCAAGTTGGGACGAGCCGTTGAATTGCGGGGATTCGCTGCTGAACAACCGGTAACAACTGCGTCACACCTGCAAAAAAAGAAATGATTAAAATGTGTTCATCATTGTCCTGTTATATGTCTATTATGTATGAATTGTCAAAAATTATTTCTAAATTTTTAACAAATTAAAAATTCAATGGAACTACCTGGGAACACCTTGTGCAATACTTTGTTCTGAGTGCTGTGGAGCACTAATAGTAATAATAATAATAATAATAATAATAATTTGCCTTGTGCTGTGAATCTTGTCATTTGTAGAAAAAAATTACAATTTATTATTTGAAGCATTTTTTAATGTTTGCATAATGAATTATTTTTGATAGACAGGATCACAGGAATGTGGAAAAATTTTGGGAACACTGACAAGTAGCAAATAAAGCTTGAACATCAATCAATGGATCTTGAAAATAAGAGAGGAACCTGTTCAAAAATGCTCACACACATTTCATTGATTGCTTTCCTGTTCAATTTTCATAACATTTTTCTTTTAGTGTTTGCAATTCTCAAAATACCCCACATGCTGTGCATCCAAATAAAAGTTTGATTTTTCAGATTGCGCTTTGAGATGGAAAATGAAAAATTGCCAAAACTGGAATAGTAATCACAGGATTCATACGAAGATGTGGATTATTTTTGGGGTAAGATAAAATGAAAAACAAATATTTAAATTGTTTCAAATACTTTTTAAAATGAATTTTTACAATATAGCCACTGGAACCTGGGGAAATGCTTCCTTGTTTTTCTTTTCATCTAAAAGTTGCACTGTGGCAACATGTATTTGCATTATACATCATGTAGAGTATTTTATCCCCAAATATGAAGTCATTTTTCAGGAATTGACATATGGAATCATACCATCATCAGAACACCTCTCACTGTTGAATCAAGCTTCCACACTCAATCTTAAAACAGTGCCAATCAACTTATTTGTTCAAGTAGATCAAGAAAATTTTTCTTCAAAAATACATCATACTGGAGTGAATTTTTTTCTTCAAAATTTGAAAATTTTTTTGGATGGACTCAACATTTAAACTTGTTCTGTGAAATTCAAAGAAATAATTTTTCAGAGACTAGAATCAGTAAAAATATATACGTTTATATTTATGCTCATTCAAACTGACATATAAAACTGAGAAACAAAAAACAACTGCAGAACAAGGTAATTCAAATTTGATTACTTTGAATTTGGAATTTTAGCATTTATTTCCCAAAATATTTGCTGCACAGTTTCACAGAAAACGGAGAATTTTCTTTTCAAAACAACGTCTCTCGAAAACTTTTCGTTGCTGCCCAAGTCCTTTCAAATAAATAGAAAATAAATATCGCGCCTAAAATTTTAAAAATCAGCGAAGCCCTCGGAGAAGAATATCCAACAATAAAAAAAAAATATGTCAATCATTCAAATCCCGTCGTCCAACTCGTTTCTCCGTCGTCACAATCAACAGCACGCCGGTCACAATCAACCCAATGCCCGCAAACCACTTGCCACTCAGCGACTCCGCCAACACAACGGCGCCCAAGACGCCACTCGTCACGAACCCAGCGCCGAAATTCACCGCCACGGCGTTCGCCGACGAACCACTCGTGGCGCCCAGGGCGTCCACAAAAGTCGGGATCATGGCGGAGTTGAGTGTCACCATGCTGACGAGGAACACGCCGCGAAAAAACAGAGTCCCGAAGGAGTCTCGACACACGGTTTCCGGGAGGAAGAAATGGCACGCTGCCGAGCTCAGCGGATCAGACATGCCGATTTTGCCGAGAAGACTGGCGCAGGCTGCCAAAATGCCCGAGTAAATGGCGGCTTTCATCGTTGGAGTGGAAATTCGGGCACGAGGGGTCGTCGTCGGAAATGGGGGGCCTATCGTCAGCTAGTAATGCTCACCTCGCAGCGCAGGGATCAGCCGGAGACAACGGAACATCTTGACCAATCCACCAACTTTGTCAATCACTCACTCATGACACGGGAAAAAAAAAAAAGATTTCTGCAAAAAACAAAAAAAATTGTCAAAGCAGCGCATTCAACACGTACTGTACAGTAATTCAATTCTTGAAATGTTTCTAATGGTCGTCAAAACACCGTATTTCTCTTGAAGAACAAAGACAGAAACTTTTTGGCCAGTATGTGAGAAATTTCCTCAAGCAAAATAAATTTATCAAAGGTTATTCATCAAATAAATTCATCTATGCAGTGTGGTACAGTAGTTTAACTTGAAATTTTGGAAAGGCGTGTTTCAAATTATCTGAAGAAAAATAAAAACACTTCAGACAAATTTTTACCTGCTGAATTAAATTATTTTTCCACATACAGGGAGACCCCCACATGCAGACATGTCAACATGCAGACTATTCAACATCGGGACACTTACTTTCCCATAAAAAATTAATAAAAAAGGCATAACATGAGGACACTGACTTGACATGGGGGCAGTTTGTGACAAAATTGAAAATAAGTTTCGGGCCAAATTACAAGCATCAGATATTTCCAACCTTAAAATTGATGTAAGAAAAGTTCTTGGGCATTTCTCCCCCCAATTTACTATCCAATTAGCTAATTAAAAAAATTACCTCCAGCATAGAGGGACTTCCTTCTCTCCTTTTCACTTGAATGTTTATTTGTACAGAGAATGCAGACATTTCTATGTACTGTACAGAGGTATCAGTATTCAATTCCCCAAATAAATATCCATATTATGTTGAAATATATTGATTGAATCAGTTTAAATTGGGAGACAATTTTATTTTCATGGTATTATGATGAGTATTTTGTACATAAAACACCAATTAAAAATTATGTAATGTTACGGAAAATGAGACTCAACTTAGGGACCATCTTGATGCACCAATTATGTCCGCATCTTGGGGTCCCACTATTCATTTTGAGGAACCTTTCTTGAAGCCCAGCTTTTCAATTTTTTCTTAAGACATCCCACTACATCTGCTTCATTGCTTCTTAACTTAATTCTTGCAATACCTAAAAGCAGGTATTCCCAAAATTCCTACTGGTCTGCAAACATTTTGTAAAACATTGCCAGTCTGCAAAAATTTCAGGGAAATTTGCACGTCTGTGGGCCCTTTCAATTTTGCGGAGACACTCAATTCCGATACAACCAGTGAAAGTCTGTGCTGAGGAAATTCATTTTTTCGTTAATTGAATTTCATCCGTAGAGTTGAAAAAAAGAATACGTAACAAGAATTTCCTCAAGAAAAACACGTTCAAAAAAATTAAACCAAAATTCGGAAAATGACTCTGACCCAGAAAAAAACGAGAGAAGGCATTCCAGAAGTTTACTGTTTCAGCAAAAAAAAAAAAAAAACATCAACAAAACGACAAGCGAGCTCACGAAACCCCCAGAACAGCTCATGCCGTCACAGGCTCTCTATCAAGTTTCTGCCAGAGTTTCAAATCCTGCATGTACTCGGACTTGAGGATTTTCTCGACATCAGCGAGCGGATAATCCCGCTGCACAGCCTCCAAATCTGCATTCGGAAACTTCTTCAACACCGCGATGACGGTTTCCGTCTGAAAACTGCGGATAAAAAAAGTAATAATTAAAGATGTGGATCACAATTTCGCCGAAGAACATCGAAATAATTTTAGGCTCAAAGTTTTCAGTAAAATCATCACCGTTCACAGATGCTTTTCAATTCAACGGCGACAAAACCCTTGAATTGACTCATCAAAATTAATCAGATTAACGCATTTATTCTGACGTGGAAAATCATTGAAGGAAGGTTATTCTCAAAATTTTGACAGAGCACAGAATTATAGAGTGATCAAAGGTAAAAATCTCCAATTGCCAAAATTCGTTCAATAAAAAAATCCAGATTTTATTGGAGTAGGTCTGATGCGATTTTCTCTGGTCCCTAAAAATTTACCTGTAAACGAATCTATTTTGAGAAAAATAAATCTCAGTTTTCTCAATCTCAATTTTCAGCCGGGAGTCTGGATTTTTCTCAATCAAAATTATTTCTCCAGTGTCCTCATTGAAGCCGAATCTTTTTTTTTTTTTGAATTCCCTAAATCCTCTTCGCACTTCCTGAAGAATAGAGCTCATATATTGATGAAAACGAAATTTTACCGCGGACACCCTTGAAACTTTGGTAATATTTGTTTCAAAAATCTGCGGCAATCGTAGAAAATTGCCTTTTTCCCCAAATTATCAAGTAGTGCATTATTATAATCATTAGCTAATTTTTTTCCGTCGTTCAATTCAATGGATTCGGAAGCGACCGCATCATGACGATCTTTGGGGCAGTAAAAAAAAAAAAATTTGAAATAAGCGTCGAAAACTCGAGATTTTTGAATCGGAAAAAGGTTGAAGACCAACCGAGTCCAATAGGCATTTCTGCTAGCTTCTTTCTCCTTAATCCTGGCGTGAAAGTATTTGACATCCATGTCCCACTGCCGGAAACCGTCGTCCAATCGATTGGCGTAGAAGAGCATTTTTCTGGCGGTTTCGTTGAACTGCTTCGGCACCAGGTATTCTCGGCTAGAATGAAACACTCGTAAACCTGCCAAAAAAATGTTGAAATATTTTCAAATATGCGTACTTCGGAACACATTGGCATTTTATCAACACTTTTTCTTCCTTAGGACTCGGGATTACGAAACTACGATTAGACACATTATGACGGATGAAAAAAAATCGAAGTTGCTCTGGAAAATTCGGCGAACAATGTGGAACTTTATTTTTTTTAGCATGAAGCTTCTTGGGATAATTAGGATAATTTTTTCCTTCTGTCCTCCAAGCTTTTTCTGCTATTTCGAGTTTCTGAAAATGCTGAAACTTCCACACACAAAAAACACGCCCGTCTGAAAAAAAAAAATGTTTTCCACGTCCATGCTAAACTAATTTATACAATTTCGAAAAAGGGATTCTCTCGTACCAAGCCATGACAAAGCCCATTTCCCGGGTTGCTCTCCCGTTTCTCCAGTTTCCAATTCGAAATAAGCACGATTTCTCTCCCGGACGACGTCCTCCACATTTTTCATACTTTCGTCAATCTAGAATGAATCAAATCAAATCAAAGTCACATTGTCACTGCTCCGAGATCTTCAAGCTACACATTGATTTATTCACGCACTTTGTACTGAATGATCGAAAATGGTTTTGTTTTCTTCTTACAGAAGCTTCCCGAAATTTTCACGATACCGATATTCGTAGTTAGACTGCCATTTTTAAATTCATATTATATTCATGTATTTGGATACAGTGAGACCCCAACATATGGAAGCTGGAAAACTAAAAAAAAATCAGGCCCGACATCTGGACATTGGCTCGAGTTAGGGACACTTTTCTGAAAATTTCCCAAAAAAATCGAAAAAATTTCCTTTTCTAATTTAGATATCTTTTGAAGAAATAAAGTTATTTATAGTCACAAAAGGGGGGGGGGAATTTCATGACAAATTCAGTGTAATTCATGATCAAAAGCAAGCTTCTTTTTTCAGAGTTTTTCTTCCATCCTCTGTGCATATTCTAGCAAGAACTATTATTTTTCTTTGATTTTTGATCTTCCTTTGGTACCAAAATATCAGATTCTATGTGGTTTTGTTCTGCACTGTTGTTTTCTACCACTTGAAGTTGAGGGAAACAATCATCATCAAAATTTTTTGAGGACTTATTTCTAATTTTTTGACGAAAGGGAGAACCAATTAATTACATTAGCACTGAAGTCTAAGATAAAATGAGACTTGACTTGAAGGCATTCCAACATCAGGAAACTCTTGATACACGAATTACATCTGCATCTTGGGTTCTCACTGGACTGAAAAACCTCAATTCAGTATTTAAAACAGAAATTGAGTTGAGTTAAAAATAGAAAAAAATTAATTCAGTATCCCAAAGAGAAACAGAGTTGATTTTAAAACTGAATTGAGTTCAGTATCCAAATATACTCCGAAAAAAAAAGAAAACCAAGTACAATACAAATATTGGTACATTTCTTGAAAATGTTGGGGAAACTACTTTTCGATAGATCCCAAATTTGATCATGAGTGAATAAATTGAGACTCTAAAATATTTTCAAACACGCATGGATCAAACTTCCAAGATTCGTCGACTCAAACATGAAATCTTCAATTTCGTTCACCTCAAGTGATCTTTTCCACGTCGAACTTCAAAAAACTGATCTCAAAAGTTCAGCCCTGAAAACGTGCGTTGAAACGAAAAGACATCGAGAAAATACAGGAAATTTACCTTATCTATCCGCTCTGGATTCGGAAAAATGCGGGCTTCGTCGTTGCACTCTTTTTCCAAAGTTATCAACATGTTCTTTTCCTTCAGAAGTACGTACCTGCAAAAACATAAACCCAAATTTTTGTTAACATAATAGCGACCTCGTACAAGACTGACTCGTGATACGACATCTTACGACTCTTTCACTACTTTCATTAAATAATTATGATTGTTTTACTCTTGCTACGAGTTCATCAAGTAATTAAATTTTAAATATGCCCACAAAATCGAAAGAAAAATGTAATTTTCAAGAAACTTTGGCATAGAGACATTTCTAATGATTATATCGACCTCGTACAAGACTGACTCGTGCTACGACATTTTATGACTCTTTCCCCACATTCATTAAATAATTATGATTGCTTAACTCTTGCTACGAGTTCATCAAGTAATTAATTCGTAATATGCCCACACAATCGGAAAAACATGTAATTTTCAAGAAACTTTGGCGAAGAGACAATTCTAACATTAATTTCATTTTCCCCATACAATCACTAAAAATCAGAGCGCGAATTTCGTAAAAATCAACGCACGCGAAGATGAATCAATCTGAACTGAGGCTGAAAAACAAAAATTCCAGCCCCCACCGGAATCTTCACTTTTTCTTTTCCCCCATATACGCAATCACACCGCGATTCTCCACACACAAAATGAAATCTACAAATGAAAAACAAAAACAAGTAAACTGACCAGAGTTTATGAAGATCCACGTTGCTTTTGAGCCGAAGTTCCGGCATTCTCCAAGAACGACCGACTTTCACCTCGGTCTGACCCCAAGTGGACCTTTCGTCGAAAAACTCCATCAATCCCTTGACCCCTTCCGAACAATACTGCTTCACTGGGGCTTGAACAACCGGTTCATCTTCCGTGGTCGTCACTTCTTTCGCTGGCTGCGTCGACGCTCGGCGATGGCATTTACAAACGGCTCTTCTGCGGAAAACAAAAGCAAAAGCAGGTCAATGTCACACATCATTCATCATCATTAGCATTAAGATCAGACTTTTGAATAAATTACCTTCGCAGGTGAATGGAATTACGCAACAGCGCATTCATAGTTTTCATACACAATTTATCTGCGGAAAAACAGAATACAGGAAAAGATGCATCATTTAGCAAGGTCCGCAAACAGTGCAGCACAAACAGTAAAAAATTAAAAATCCTAAAAAAAAACTCAAACATGACACACAGAAAGTGAGACCCCCACATGCAGACGCCTTGACCTGCAGACACTTTGACATAGGGACACTTATTTTCCCAAAAAAAAACAATAAATAAGGCCCAACATCAGGACACTGACTCAACATGGGGACATTTTGTGATGAAATTACAAATACATTTCAGGCCACATTACAAGAAACAGATATTTCCAACCCTAAAATTGATGTAAGAAAAGTTCTTGGACATTTCTGTCACCAAATTATCATCCATTTAGCTAATTTAAAAAAATTACTTCCAGCATAGAGGGACTTCTACTTTGTTTTCCCTTGAATGTTATTTTTGTAGATGCCAAATTTCAGTGTACAGTACAGAGATAAACTATTCAATGCTCCAAATGTTCTTATTGAGTTGAAAATGTATTCTTTGATTCAAATTCAAGTGGCAACAAATTTTTTTCAGAGAATTCTGAGGTATATTTCCTCCATAAAACACAAATTGAAAATTATATAATGTAAGTCTATAGGAAAACAAGACTCAACTTAGGGACATTTTGCCTTGAGGAAACTCTTGAAGCACCAATTATGTCTGCATCTTGGGGTCTCACTGTGATTGCTCATCTCCCCCAAAAAACATTTGAATAAAAAAATTTATAAACCATCAGACAGCAAGAATCATCATATTAAATGTCGTGGGCGTGGAGCAATTTGGTTGAACGGGTAATTTTTTCAAGTTTCTTTCAAAAATCGACAATTTTTTGAAAGGTTCGAGAGGATTTAAAAGGGGTGGCGGTTCATCAAAAAAGCTAAAAAATACGAAAATTAAATAAAATAAAAATTCTTATTCTTCTAGAAAACAATCAAAATAACCCTGGGATGCGTACATTATATCTAGCTAAATTTCCCCAAGAACAAAATCATTTCATCTTTGTGCTTGCGTGTTTATTTTAAATTGAAGACCTTTCACAGAAACTTGAATCTTGTTTGCGGGCAGTCAAAAAGAAAAGAAATTGGTACGAGCCTATTTGAACCGTCAATAATTTTGTCGGATAGTGCTTTAAAACGGTATCCAACGTTACCATCATTAGGAAGACGAATTTTTTTTGCAAAATATTGGCGGTTGCCGAGGATGATGTCTCAACAAGGTTCGACTGTAAATCTGCAATAATAACTCTGCCTACGACCGTTTCTCGATTATCTCGAGGCATTTTTCTCCCCCACCAAAAAAAAAAAAAAGGATCGACCCATAATCGCCTTAATCGAAAAATTTTTCAGCAGCAATAGGAACAGTATGTTCTCAAAGAAACTCATCATCAATGCCCGGACTCATCCACTTGAAACTAGGCGCCTCACATTTCCCAAACAAGCAACTTCCAAACCTCTCTCTCTCTGTCTTCCTTTAAAAAAAATTAAAATAAAGTGAATGCAAAATTAAAAAAAAAAAATACATTGACTAAATGGAAATTTATATCAGCTGCAATTTTCCCGCCGCCACCAGGGCGCTGACCGGCGCGTATCGCGTCAAATGCAACGAGCCCTTCTCCAACTGCGTCGCCTGATCCGCGTCCTGGTCCAGCAGCACGTCCGGACAGTCTTCGTTGACCCTGAAGAACACGAAGCGATTCAAGTTCGGGGACGGGAACATGGTTTTCTTGAGCTTCGACACAATCGCCGGCATGTGTGCCAAGGCCGAAGACTCCAACTCCTGTTTGGTCAGGTTCCAAACGTTCCGAGCAAAGGTGAACTCGTTTTGTGTGAGTAACTGGGCAAAAGAAGACTCCGACACTGGGTCCAAGAAATACGCAGGCGAGAACCGCTCGATCTTCTCCAGTCTTGCTCGCAGATACGAGGTGAGCATGAACCTGTAACATTCAATAAAAGGTGGTACGGTACTAAAAAAAAAAAAACACTTCTGTTTTTAGGCTGCCGATTTAAAATGAGAAAACAAAATGGCTTCCACTTGATCGTTTGTTTGACGGATGAGTGTATAACACATACGAGGGGCCCAACAAAAGTTCTCAAAATAAAAATTGAAACGGCATACGAATGAGCTGAAAAACAAATTGTTTGGTATAAGATAGAAAAATTTAGCCCTGTTCAAAAAGTTTTGCAGAACATTTTTCCAATTTTTTTTGCAGCTTCATGCTCTTCACTTAGGAGATGAGGCACTCATTTCGCATATTTCTCTGCCAAGTCGATTTTGAAAATATTTAAGGAGAATCTGGTCAAAACCAAAAAAATCTTCAGAGGATACATTTAACATAGCTTCTACTTTCTGACTAAAAATTGGAAAATTTCTCATAAATAGAAGGAAAATATTTTTCTGAACTTTAATTAGCAGAAAATAAGCTTGCAGAAAAAACCATACAAAATATGCTCCTTTTGGCATGAAAAGGAGCGCAAATATCATCTTTTTTTTTTGTACACACTTGATGGAAAAAACCCCTAAATTCGGTCTTTAAAAATTAAAGTTTTCCATATTCTAGGTTTGTTGGTGAAGCGTCTAGATCTTGAAGCATTGTCCGGATGTCACAGCAGATCTTTTTTTAAATTCAGCGTCCCTAAGTCGAATTGTCTGTGTATCGGGGCCGCAATAGACAGTATTTCAACAATTCATCATCTTCCAAAAAAACAAAAAAGCGCGTGAAAATGTCGACGCTCTTGGTAATGCTGAACTAGGATCGATTCAACCAAAAATCCAGCGACCGTTTGAAACGTCATCAATATCTGCTCGAGTTTGACCAAGACGAAATATAAATTACTTTCGAAAAGGCTTCGAATCGAGCAATGATTCAAATAAAGTTGAACACCTCTTCAAATCAAATTTCACAGAGACTTGAAACATTACAGTTAGGGAAACAAGAATTTTTCTTTGGGGGGGGGGGAAGATAAATTGAAAGAAATTACAATTCGTGATTTTCTGGGCCTTAAATTGCTTCTTTGATGCATTGACAGGATTCTGAATTTGGAAAAGGGTTCTATTGCACAATTAGTCTTTCAGTTCCTTTCAAAACACACCAAGTTAAATTTTGTTGTTTTTTTTTTCTTTTTCCTGTGCCAAGAAAATAGCCAAGAAGGCCACAAAAATTCGAGTTACGGAGGTTCATGCTGTTAAGGAGGTTGTTCCCAAAGGAATTCAGAAAGGGACTAGAAAGATTTGAGTTATCGGGGTTCAACAGTAAAACACTGCATTTTCCACAGAGCGACGAAAAACTTCGAAGCAGCGACATCTCTCTGCCAACCTGGTTCTCGAGAGTTCCTGCATGCAGATGGACCTCGCAAACTCCGACTTTTTCAACAACGCCACATTGACTTTGGTCATATTCATAAGCTCCGTGATGCAATCAACCAAATCGCCACGATGAGGAAGAATCTCCGGGCAAAGAGTCTCCGTGAGCATCGCGTTCTTCAGTTGTTCCAACGCTTCCTTCGGCGTGATCGTCACTTCTGCATCATCTCCATCGTCCACCGACGACGTCGCACCAAACGCATTCACATCACTGTCATTGGTATCCATGGCACAACCTGGGACAGTGGGAAAAAAAAAATCTTGAACAAAATAAGACGAAAAATTTAAATAATCACCAGCTCTACGCGAAAATCAAACAGCTAACAAATTATGCACATCTATTTCGAACCAAAAAAACGGAAGCATGCGCAAAAGACACGTAACAATATCGACAACTCGGGTTTCTACAGCAGCACCACCTCTATACATGAACTTCGCAGTATCAAACAATACGAAATATAAACAATCCAGGCTGAAAGAAAAACAATAAAATCACAAAAGCGTGAAATAAACGGTGATTCTGAATGGGAACATAACAGAAAAAAAAGCAATACGTGTTTGATTCTATGCCCCAAAACAAACAATTTCAAAAAACCCAATCAATAAGGATAGCCCACGATTACATGCCCCCAAAAAAATTGGAAATCATCCGGATGAGAAGAAAATACTTATTGAAAATAGTTCCGTTTTAAAAAAATTGAAAAAATACTCCTGGGATATTCTCAACATTTAAAAAGAGATACAGTTTATCCACAATAACTACACGAGTTTCACGTCGATTCATTTCAATTTTTCATCATTTTTCCCGCATTTGAAAAATTTCCTCATGTGTAAACGATCATAAACTTCCAATTGGGCCGAGGCCATCACACGTTACAAAGTTTTTCTCATGTTCACAAACTTCGTGAACTTCACCAACCTTTTTTATTTTTTAGCTGAATGTATTAATGAAAAATAAAAAAAAAAGAAGCCCGGGTTGTCTGTCAACTATTGATTCGAATCAGATTTTTAAAATAACGTGGAGAAAAAAACAAATTCCCCCATTGAGAAATTTAACATAAAAAAGTCGACAATCGGGCTTGACCTAAATTCTACCAAGGATACAGTTCAAAATGCATTTCTCCACAATAAAGTAAGCTCTTTTTTTTCAATACCACGCTGTGAAAGTGTGGGGACGCTTTCAATAATGATTTACACGGAATATTTCAGGAAAAAATGTCTTTCGCAAACCATTATACAGTACTTCCCAAATTTCTACGGGAAAACGTAAAGATGTTTCGACATTGGTTCTTTGACCTTGTCCATGAACCAATGTCGGAACATCTACGTCGACAATAAACAATTACGTCCGCATTTCGGGGCCCCACTGTCCTAAAAAAACAAAGAAAGTAAAAACAATCAAGAAACTTCTTCTGGCATTGATTTTTGCCTTGAAAATTTTTTATACTGCACAAAAACTTTTTGTACACTCTTGTATATGCCTCCCAAACTTGTCTCCAATGGAAAAAATGAAAAAAAAAAATTCCGCAACAAATACAGTGAGACCCCGAGATGCGGGCAATTCGACTTGGGGACACGTGAAACTTGGAAAATTCTTCCCCAACATCTGCACAATGTCTCAACATACTGACACATTTCCAACATTTCAACAAATATGGAGAATTTTTATTTTTCAAAATTTGGTTACCTCTAAACAAATTCAAGATATGTATTAATACTGTATCTACAAAAATCAGAAACAAATTTTATTCAAAATTTGCTCATATTTATGATGGAAAACAGATGGTTTTTGTGCTTTTCATCATGGAGTATTCTCTATCATCTGTGCACAGTACAGCAAGACTAGTTCAGTACTTTCTGGACACTGACTCAACATGAGAACATTGCATGAGAAAATTTCCAATAAATTTCAGGAAATTTGACTTTTATTTGGCTTGAATGCAAGAATCAGATACTTCCAACCCTAAAATGTATGCAAGAAAAATTCTTCACTCATTTCTCCCATCCATTCAGCTAATAAAAAAAATTACCTATTACATAGAGGGACTTCTTTCTATCTTTGTAACTTTAATTTTATTTTTTTAGATGCCTACATTTCAATGTACAGTACAGTACAGAGACACACTACTCAATCCTCCCAATGTTTTTATTGAGTTGAAAATATCTTGACTGAATAAATTTGAGCGGCAAACCATTTTTTTCATAGAATTCTGAAGAATATTTCTTCCATAAAACACCAATTAAAAATTATATAATGTAAGGCTACAGGAAAACAAGACTTGACTTAGAAAAAATTCAATTTAGGGACACTCTTGATGCACCAATTATGTCCGCATCTGGGGGTCTCACTGTATTTTGTTACGGAATACAAAAAAAAAAAAAACAACTTCAGGCCTCCAGGGCACTACGGGAAGCCTTAATCGGGGCGGAGAACTGCATCATTCCCATGTACGAAATCAATCCAAGCGCGTACTTGTGATAACTAGCACCTACCTCGAATCCGCAAGCAAACAGGGACTCTCTCAACTCATCATTCACCTCGGAACACACGGTATCCACAGCTAGGAACCCGAAATCCCGACAATGTTGCAAAACTGCGTTCACCAGCCTCTCTTCAACCACGGTTTGTCGATACGGGGGTCGAACCAAAAGTCGCTTCATAAAGGCTCTTCTCGGATCCCGTTCAGACGAACACACACCCACCATGCCGATGATGCGTTTCCGGGAGCCCTGGATCCGGGGGTAAAACGTGGCTTCGTTGTAGTTGCCCTCCAGTAAGAAGAACAACGAGGAAACAGCGCCTGCAAAAATCACATTCAGTTTTCAGATTGATTTTTTTTGACGACTGAAAATAAAAGAGTGCTTCGCAGTAGTGCCCTGAAGGCTCGACTTTTCCGAAATGAATACAGTATTTTTCGCAGAATTTATACTTTATTCATCTTTTCTTCACTTATCACTTGAAAACAAATTTGGTATGCGTTTACAAGGGGGTACGATACATTTCTGAACATGAGAAAAACGCTTTCCGTTACGTTTCAATACCAATGGCGGTTCTTGGTTGTTGCTACTTTCATCTTCCTTTTTCACTACAGCATTCTTCGACAGACACTTTCTCGATGGTTTTGAAAAGATTCTGGAGCAAAATTTAGAGTTAGATATATTACTTGGGAGAATTTTTGTGCGTGATTTTGATAAGGGTTTGCAACCTAATACATTAATTTGGTTTTGGTACTGCTGACAATTCCTATTTACAGAATTTCTGCACAGACGAGGGAGAGAAAACTAAAAGATAATACATTATATAAAAGTTTAGAGAACACAATAGAGCTTTGATAACTCAAACCTCCTTATTGTCAAATTTTTTTCAAGTCCCTTTTTGAATCCACTCAGAAACAATGCATCAAAAACTTTGCCCCTCGAACCCCACCACTCGAATTTCCTGAAGCTGCTATTTACTGACACCGGAAATTGAAAAGCAATAAAAAAAAATTGATGCAAATAAAAGGAAGTGAAAGACGAATTGGGAAGATGAACCTATGCTTCCAAGTTCAGCATCCTGTCAACTCACCTGAGAAGCTATTTAACGCCCAGAATATTACCTTATTAGAATCTCCTGTCATTCTTCTTTAAATGCACCACTTCCCTAACCAGAAATGTCTTTGCTGGTGTTTCGGAGTTCGACTTGAGAGGTTCAGCTGTAATGCTGTAATGAAGGGGAATTTTTCCTCAATTCCGGAAAAAAATCGTCACAACTGGCACTGCGTGATATTTGCCATGAATGACTGTAAAATCAATTCTAATACGCGCAGAAAAGGACTGAATTTATCTACAAGAAACTGAAGAAATCACCAAGTAATTATAAATTTTGGATACTTGAGACCTCAAAATCACAGTACAGTATTTGTAATGTACTCGAGTAGATTGAGAGAAAAACATAACTTCTCTCGTACTTTCGCACGATCACATTTTTACAACAAAATCAACATCAACTCACTCTTGTCCAAATCTTGAAGCAATCGGATGTTGCTCTCACACAACTCTGCAACAAAAAACTTTCCGCCTCGATCTCGGGAATACTTGTTCTCCATTGCTGCGAACTCCTGCGACATCTCCAGACCCTTGACTCCATTTGACATCCGAATAGCGAAATAATTTCCCAAGAACACGACAGGGACAAACAAGACCGAAATTGTTATGGGAACCCCAAGAAAAATGAATGCGATTGCGACAATGAACACGATCACTTCGTACACAGTTTCGCGAAACAGCGAACGCACAAACATCGGACCAGTGAACAGTCCGATTCTTTCACCAATTATCTCTTTACATGCTTTCTGATCTTCGGGCTTGTATTGGCGTATCAACACGAAGGGACTGTCCATGTGTTCAACACCCGTTCGCATTTACCTACTGAAAGAGAGAGAAAAACATTTACATGCGCACACCTCTAAAAAATTGCTTAGCAGAAAGAAACTGAAATTTTTCGTGTTTTCAGAAAAATCATGAATTTTTACGAAAAAATATCACTCAAGCGATACCCAAAAATAGTACATCCACAGACTAAGCACATTTTTTCGAGGGTTTCTTCGGAGGATCCCAACGAATCGCCGCAGGATCGACTTGAATGCGGGGCTCCGACAGGCCACAAGTCGCAACATATTCTAGAACATTCTTCGGAGAAATACAGATGACGTGCTGCCCTTTCCAGTATTTCACCATCTTGAGTGCCATCAGGGTTTGAATTATGTCCTCTTGCTGTATTGAGGTTCTATGACTGAGATAGAAATAACATTCTGATTGCCGAATCGATACCAAATAACAGTAACTGCTCCGGACCAGCATCTTCTAGCTCAATAAATAAATTGAGGGTTCTTGCTTAAAATTTACATCAGTATAAGTCTGGCAGGATGGATGAAAATCGGTGGTAGATGTCGTCCCGAAGAATTCACATTTACAAAACATAACTGCATGCAGGGTAAGGAAGTAAAATACCAACCTCAAGTCCTTGATGGTCAATCTCTCCTCTCCTTTCATGATGTTCAACAGTATCCATGTCCAATAGGACTTGTAAGAAACCTTCCCCAAATCGGAAAGTGGCTTTTCAGGAGTTCCAATCTGACACTCTCTTTTGGACAACTCGTACGAAAACTGAATGAGAAATTTTCCGTAACCCTTCCGTTGGAATGGCGGAAGCGTCATAATACAAGCAACGTTGTAATTTTCAGATGATTCCTTCTCTTTCGAAAAGTAGCCTACAAAATGAGCTCCCTCGTGATCGACTTCGGTTAAGATGTAAAATCTGAACGGTTCAACGGAAAAGTAAAGGGTCTTGTGGTCCAAGAACAGCTTCGCTAGCAAACACAAACACTGACAATACAATTTTTCTTCTTTTCCATCTACTTCGTACAAAGAGAGAGCACCCTTGCGATAAATTTCTTGCCCCGGTGGTTGGAATCTGGTGCACTGTGTCTGCAAAAATATAAAAAATTTGAACGAAGGAACCACCGGAGAGTCTTCGATAAACTTTAGAGATACCTGATGCAACCTGAAAGTTGATTCAGTGGACGTGTACTTGAAACAGTACTCGCAAACAAATAATTTGTCTTCTCTGGCTTCTCCTGGGATTTCAGGGTACGGAGAGTAGTACCAAGTATCGATCTCATACCGACCGAATTCAATACACTTGATCAGCTTGATTTGAGGTAACGCATCGTGCTCGCTGTCGGGGCCATGCGAATCGAATCCGTTGTTCTGCAAAATCGCCGACTTGTTCTCAGACCAGCGTGAGCATTTTCAAAGAATACTGTACCTCTTCCAGGTGGTTCATTTCCACGTGCATCCTTTTCTGATGCCTCGTGATCTTCCGGTCGGAATTTTCGAAGGAATCTTCTGGTTTAAGAAGCTTCGACACATTCTTCAGATGATTCACCCCATTGCCACTGACTTCACCAACCCTGGCATTCGTCAGACTGAACTGCGAGTCGTCAACTCTCTCAATTCGTTCTTTGGTGACCCACTCATCCAGACGACGATTGGCACCCGTGTAGTGAACGTAATGCTCGAATTTCCCCAGAGAATCTTTGTATCTTGTTTGTATGATGGCCGCAGGATCTAAAAATTAATCGAAAAATTTAGTACTTCGAAAAAAATAGAATAGAACCAAATGCTCACGTAGAGTTCTATCAGGCCACGAAACGACATAATTTTCTCCAACCGTATGTGGAGATTCATTGACAGGCCAAAGGGAGGAGTTATCCGGACCATTCGACATTTCTTCACTCATCGTCTCAAATCACTCCCTACAAGAGGGTGTAATGACAAAGAATGTGTGTACCAGTTTAGCGTATACATGTACAGCGTAATGAGATTTATCCCATCTGCAGGATAATAAATTTTCTGACTACTACGGTGAGAAAAGATTCCTCGACTTCTCCCGAAGGAAGTTGAGAACTAAATGATGCTCTGGGCAGCCATATGCTGTATGAATTGGGGGAATCGGGATCCAGCTGAGAGCGACGACAATTATCAAAGAGTAGTTCTATTCTGTTCAGTACTGTACTGTACTGTATTACCGTATTGATCCTTCGTATCGCTATCCAGGCCCGAACAATGACAGTGCACATAGTATCTTGTACTGCTGCCCTTCTACTGTGGCGAATTTTCCGTAGTTCAGTGTGTCCTCGTTGACCGGTTCGAAAGTTGGCCTACCTATTCGTCATCCCTGAATTTTGTGAGTATTGTGGTGCTGCTGCTGTTCTTTCCATTCCTGTTCCGAAAAGAAGCATCAATATGTCCGGTGATTCGAGTGAATTGAAGGCGGTAAGATATTCTCGGTCTGAAGGCGCGTGATGCATTTTATATTCTTGATTGTGTGGCAGAGCTTTGACAAGGCAGCGGAAGATGTGAAAAACCTTGATAAACGCCCTTCCGATGATGACCTGAAGACGATTTATGGCCTTTTCAAACAGGCAACCGTCGGCGATTGCAACACCTGTGAGTAACCGAGAAACTTGATCTAGCTGTAAGACAGAAGACTGAAATGATTCTTTGTCCTTTTATTGCTGTAGCCAAGCCGGGATTGTTGGACTTCAAGGGAAAAGCCAAATGGGAGTCCTGGAACGCGTTGAAGGGACTGTCAGCTGAAGAAGCGATGACGAAGTACGTCGAAAAAGTCACTCAACTGGTCTCTTCTCAGAAAGCTTGATGTGTGAACCCTGTGCTCCGAGTCAGATCAAACACAAATCAATCGATGTTCTTCGATCACTGTGATTTTAGTTTTGGTTGAGGCGAAAAACTCCTTTCGGCACGAATCGGACTTCGGTTAGGGAAAAAAATAAACTATCTTCGCTTGAAGCAGTGAATTTATTTGATCATGTTACTAAGTTTAGTTTTGCAACGAGTTATTTTATGAATGATTAGATACCTAATCAGCTTACATTTGACAGTGCGAATATCGTTTGGTTCTATTACTCAATGGGTACAACAGATCCAAGCAGGTTAGACAAGCAGACAATCAGTGCGACAATTCTGTACATTACTGTAGGAGAAAAATACAGTACAGTATTATACTGTACTGTATCTTACAGTTGTATCTTACCTAACTTGATTTGATAGCTTGACTACAGGAGTGGAATTGGGCAGGTCACATATCCTTCAACCAAGGGGAACCATTTGATAGGCAGGAAGACAAAATTTGAGTCAATCATGCCTTGGATGATTTTGAAGTAGTTCTTAAGCAGGCAGGTGGTTTGTTAGGCGAGGTACCGCTATACAGTAAACTGATTTCTCTGAAAAAAAAACGATTCTACCTTTCTTTTCATGGGTGCCACACAGAATTTTCATGGAGTAGTGAATTAACTTTATATCTAACGTTCGTGAAGCACGAAAATGTCAAGGAAATGTGCACTGTTTCAATGTCTAGATGAAAATGTTACCTCTGATTTCCAGAATTTCATTTTATGAAACCAGTTCAAAACTTCTCAAGCTGAATTGAGGATAAGATACCTGGTGTACGTAGGCAGTGCTGTGGTTGCAGATGAATATTCCAAGGAGTGATGTCAGACTTCAACATATGGATGATTTCTAGACACTTCAAACTAGAATAGAAATATCCGTCCCAACGTCTATTGGCTCAAAATATGAAATTGGGCCAGAACATTATTGATCACCATTTACTGTTATAGATAATTACTTTCAGGAGGGCTTATCTGGGTGCTTCTTCAGCATTCATTTCCTAAGAATAATTCTCAGTATTGGAATATGGGGACATACTCATTGCCCTTTTTAGGTCCTATGACAATGACACAGTAGGCTCAAAATCAAGAACATTCCATTGCTTTCTTTTAGGGCTTTTTTTCTCAGCCTAAGTGAGGAGTAATTAGGTATGTTCCTATTCCAGTCTACAGAAAAGAGCAATCCAACATTCTGAAAAATGGACACATCCATAGGAACATTGATATCTTCATTCTGGAGCCTCACTACATGTGCACATTGAAGTTGAACATGTAATGGGCATATGTTTTCTCATGTAATGTTGCATCCATGACACTGATTTTGGTTCTCGTCAATATTGACAAAATTGATTCAACTTCCATTTGCGCCAATATTCGACCTCTGATTTTACTTTCGCATGTTCAAGCAGAACTCTACATCATTTTCAGGTTATCTTCCAGAGATAGTACCAATACGTTTCATGTAGCTATTTTCGTACGGCAGCATTTTATCTAGGTAGAACACAAAAGATTGAACAGTCCATATCTGGAACTTTCAACTCGACAGCACCTCGAACGGAAAGTTATTTCGACGTTTCACGATAAGAAAGGGTCATTATACAATCTCGTTTCAAGGCAATAAAACCATAGACGCAAGCAATCGTAGAAATGGAATTCTGTGGTAATACAAATTCAGATATCGGTCATTGATCGTACCCTAAACAACTAACATGTATGTTCACTTTTGTCGGAGGTATATGAATAACTTCTGCACCCAAAATAATATTGCACTTAAACACAAAAAAACAAAAAAAGGTAGTCAGAACACATCAGGACAAAACTTGAAAAATATACATTTCTGAACAGACGTGGAGATTCTGAAATCACAAAACATAATTAATTCAGTTCATAAAAACTTCCAAGACAAGCACTGGTCCCGATTCCAAACGGTAAAAGAAAAAAAAAAACAACGGCATCGCTCGACAATCGTAAGAACCCAGCTTTTCGGACAGAATGGAGTTCGCCACACGAGAACATGGAAGCTAAATTTCTACAAAATATTTAATACTTCGCAATTTCAATTAAAGCAAATTATTTCGAATTTGGCTCGTTAGAATCAACGGACTTTTCCACGATCAGCACACACATTCCGGATATACATCTGTTACAACAAACGTCAATTTTGACAATCACGAGTTTTCTGAATTTCTCCCAGAATCTACAGCTCATTCGGGATTCTATTTCCCCCAAATACTAAAATTTCGGCAGTTTCAAAAAATAAGTGCGACACGATGAAATCCAATTGAAACAATATCAAGATATGGATCCCACCGGAAGCATCAGAGATCAGTAAGAAATGAAGTACTCCTCAAATACTGTTACATCACGTAGGAATGCGAAACGTTGAGAAACTTGAGCGTCCGAAGATTCATTCTGAATGAACGATCAAGGCTCTTTCCCATTCATCTTCATTGCCAGTTCTTCAATAAACTCCCGGAATATCAAAGAATCCATGTTCTTCCCTAACTGCTGGAGCACAAACCAGTCTCCAATTTGGCACTTGGAGTTGATCATTTCAATATCCTCAGAGTAAGACATCCGAGACCGGGAACGCAAGAAAATCAATCTCACTCGTGAGGTAGACAAAACAGCGATTCGATAAAGTAGCCCAAGTCCAGAAAGAACAGCCACAATGATGAACCAGAACCACAGGAAGACCATGATCTTCTCGTTCACTATGTTTAGAGGAAGGACACAAAGGCCGTCTATCTTTTGGATAGTGCCTGACACACCATACGTATGAAATGTACACTTAGTCACCTTCGGAAAAACTCGTGACATTGGGTCAGTCCGCTCTTCCGGCTCCCGACCTTGAAACCTGAGAACATCCCACCCATAACTTGTGAATTCGCCACCGAGGAAGGTATCCATGAAGTAGATTTGACCAATCACATTGGCGAAGTTCAGGAGCTCACAGAGAAAAAATCTTAGCGCGTAGAAGTTTTGGGTGTTCAAATTGCAAGTAAAATAATCAATGAGGAGCTTCTTGCGCGAATTCTTCGTCTCTTCCTCCACAATAGGAGTGTTCAAATCCATCACGAGCATTTTGATTTTCCCTCCTTCCCAGTTTTTCCATAAATAACGCGGGACATAAAAGAGAATCGCCTGGAAGAAAAGAAAGAAGCACACCCACTGGTAATATTTGTGATACTTCTTTTCTTCTCCTGCATCGGGTCCGACTCCTGCATGTGGTACATCAACGCCTATCTTTTCGCCAAGACGATTCGGAATTGTGAACGTGCTGTGAATCCAACAGTATGTATCCATCACACTAGCAGGAACGGCATCGTCGACGATACAATCGATCGGATCGCCAATATACTGCCGGCTAGTCACCAACAGCGAACAGGCAATCAGGAATATCGTCGTTGCTTTGTAATGCAACCTGAAGACATTGTTGTCGATGCAAATTTCGTCAAGCTTGAGCAGGCCTTTGAGGGAACCGAATATCACAATCATGGTCTCCTTCAGGAACGCACCAAATAAATAAGACTCTGTGAAAACGTACAAAAAGAACTATTCACATCAGAACGGATACAGCATCCGACAATGAAAACATCAAGCAAACAACAAATTTCCAGACACGTTATTCTCATTAAAAGACAAGCGCCGATCGAGTTTGCAGTACCGCTGAATCCAACAAGCGGCTCACTACATTTTCTGCCGAGAAACCAAATTTGCGTAGGTATGAAAGTCAGTGCGATGGAATACTTTCTGCTGCATTCGAAAAAACTGAGCAGCAGGTGAACTGAATTCGTATGAGATCATGTCATTTTAATTCACCACAAACTTCGGTTGCCGAAATGCGAAGGTCGCAGCGCCAAGCCAAGCACTGACCAATTGCAGATCCAGGCTTCAGCTAAACGTTCTGTGAGAATTCCATCTTTGCTCTCCCCGCTCCTTCGTACCCCACACGTGATACAAAAATCCCTGATGGCGACTATCTAACCAATGTTAACGGCGTCTAGTGGTCATTTGGATTACGAGGAGTGGTGGTACGATTTAATCAATGAGAACCTGAATATTTGGACAGTACTGCACTGCATATTACGTGCTGGTGTTTTTTGGCCACGAAGCCGTCAAGTTTTCAACTCCTGTTCTTTCTGCGTGCAGGATCTCTACTTTTCGAGGCTTCTTTCGGATTCTACCGTTTATTATTTCAATAAATTCTAGCATTTCATCATGCTGAAGCATTCTTCGAAACTCGTCGGCGCGGCTACTCAAGTCTCCAGGGGCCTCTCCACATCATGCAAGGTAAGTAGGACGTAAGTTCGCCGTAGCTGAGTGACGTAACTATGTAATGTTTAGCGTGATGCGAAAGTGGCCGTTATGGGTGCCAGTGGAGGAATCGGCCAACCGTTGTCCCTTCTTCTGAAGCAATGCCCTCTCATCACACAATTGAACTTGTATGATATCGTCCACACACCCGGAGTTGCTTCCGATCTAAGCCATATGGACACCAAGGCCACTGTGAAAGGATTTAAGGGCGCTTCAGAACTCGAGGTATAATTTTGATGTTTTGTTGTATGATCTGCAATTTGATGAAATCCGAGAATTATTATTTCCTAGGCTTCTGTTGCTGGTTGCGACATTGTGATTATTCCCGCCGGGGTGCCAAGGAAGCCTGGAATGACGCGGGATGATCTTTTCAATACGAATGCCTCGATTGTTCGTGATCTTGCTCTGGCCTGTGCGAGGAAATGCCCACAAGCCCTGATTGGAATCATTTCCAATCCAGTAAGTCATCTCATATGTGACGCACATTTTCAACGTAATCCATAAAACGACATCTTTCGTCCAGGTGAATAGTACTGTGCCGATTGCATCGGAAGTATTGAAGAAAGCCGGTGTTTACGACCCGAAACGAGTTTTCGGTATTACAACGCTCGATATCGTTCGAGCAAATGCTTTTGTCGCTGAATTGAAAGGTCTTGACCCGCAAGACGTTAATGTTCCGGTTATTGGTGGCCACGCTGGCATTACCATCATTCCCTTGCTTTCACAAGCCACACCCAAGGTGTCTTTCCCCGAGGATCAACTGAAGGCCCTCACTGGTCGAATTCAGGTTTGCTACCCGATTAGTGAATCTGTATATTATTGAAAGTTTGAAATGGCCTCTTGTTCTCTGTGACACAGGAAGCCGGAACTGAGGTGGTGAAGGCAAAGGATGGCGCCGGTTCGGCGACTCTTTCGATGGCGTACGCTGGAGCACGGTTTGCGATTTCTCTCGTGAAGGCACTCAGAGGCGAACAAGGAGTTGTTGAATGCGCATACGTCAAATCTGATGTTACTGATGCCCCGTATTTCTCTACTCCTCTTCTCCTTGGTGTAAGTTGAGGCCTATATTCTCGGCTAATGTTAATCTTCTCTGTTTATTTCGAATGTTTCTTGTATCGTAGTTTTCTCCCTCCTGGAAATTAAATGACCAAGAAGCTCTTCATTTTTTAACTACTGTATACTATTGCGAATTATTTGTTCAGTTGAAAATCTTCTGCTGACCTGGAAGTTTGTTGCCCAAGCCGAGTTCGTTGCTTACTGCGAAATGGCGTCGGAACACGGGATCGTTCTGTAAATTTTTTGTTAAGTTGGGCTTTCATTGCTTAAGGAGTGTTGAAAGTCATTTGAGTTTATTCTGTAATCAAGAAACCGCAGTATTGCAAGGTTATTAAACCTTGAGTTATTCAATGTAGGCTATAGTTTGACCGTTGTGTTCGTTCTATGAATTTAATTCGAGGGTTATCGATTTTATCGCTGCTCTCCACTTGCGTTAGAACTATCGTTAATGTGGTACTCTCCTCTTTGCAGAAAAATGGAATTGAGAAAAACCTTGGACTGGGGAAACTCTCCGCTTATGAAGAGGAACTGTTGGCCAAGTCAATCCCAGAACTGAAGAAAAGCGCAGAAAAGGGCGTGAACTTCGTGAACAAGTCGTAACTTTTCCTAAATTTTTATTATATCGTGTAGCCTGAAGTTTGTCGGTGACGTGCTTTCTGAATTTCCACCGGTCTTTCTGGAGTAAACTTGCATTCGGTGTCGATTCCCTTTTAGAATTCGCGAGCAATATCATCACTACGTTGGACTTGCAATAGATACCTGTGAGGAAATGAGAAAAAAAAGGAAATTAAAACCGTGGTTTCAATGTTTTTGTTCATTAACTGATGAACTATTGATCAATGTGCTTACTTCTTTCCAGATCAGTTTGTTTTGATTTCCCGCCGCAAAATGACGGAATCAAAATCAATGACTGCGGATGAAATCCGGAAAGCATTTTTGGATTACTTTAAAAATGTCCGGAAACATACTTATGTTCACTCCTCATCCACGATTCCTTTGGACGATCCTACGTTGCTATTTGCCAATGCCGGGATGAATCAGGTTTGTTTTTGTCAACATTTTAATTCATAGGTTAGCGTAGACTAGAATTTTTGCGGTACAGCACAACGTGAAATTCGCGAATGATTGGTTCATATTCACACCGAGAACGCGAAGGAAAGCGGCTTTTGTAAATCACGTTAATGATTGTATTGAAAAAGAATTGCGACATGTTTCTTCGACGCAGTTCAAACCGATTTTCCTTGGAACGGCTGATCCTGGAAGTGATATGGCGAAGTGGATTCGAACGTGTAATACCCAGAAGTGCATCCGTGCTGGAGGAAAACACAATGATCTGGATGATGTCGGGAAAGACGTGTATCATCACACGTTTTTCGAAATGCTCGGGAACTGGTCTTTCGGTGATTACTTCAAGGTACGAATCCTGTAATGTCGAGTATTTAATATCTGCAACTGTGTATTTGGTCAACTTAGCCTTGAGACACCTTTGATTCATTCGATCATTTGCAGGTCGTACATTTGAAATGACTTCGGTGGAAGCAAATTTCATTAATTTTGCGTCAATTAATTACAGTTCAGCGAAATGCGGCTATTCCTAGCGAAAACTCTCCGTAAATACCGTGTTCACGTAAATTTTAACTCCCCTTTTTTCAATTTTAGAAGCTTAAAAACCAGGGGAGTGCTTTTACTTGCATATCTATGAAATTTGCGCGAATATCCGTCTATATCAGGAAATTTTCCCACTTGTGGCCAAGAAAATCAGTTTTTTTTTTTATTGAATTGAAAACAGCCAAGAAATGGTCAGCTTTTAGAAATTCGAGATGCATGAGTTGTTGACTAAAGGGGAAGAGCAAGGGTTGTACAGCAGAGTTTTTCTATTTTTGGGGAAAACCTACATTGGGCCAGAAATTTCAGGTTCCTGGGAAAATAGAATGCCAGGAAACTGACATATGGCATCTATTCGCATATTCATGTAATTTTAATTGCGTGTACGAAAAATCCAGGAGGGTTGTGCTTGTATTTACGTGAATATAGTTTGGGCTGTCATTCCAAATGTCAAATATTTATTGCTTTTCAGAAAGAAATTTGCGCCTGGGCGTGGGAGTTGCTCACTGACGTCTTCAAGCTTCCAAAAGATAGGCTTTACGTTACATACTTCGGAGGTCATCCAGCTCTCGGTCTCGAACCTGACAACGAATGTCGTCAGATTTGGCTTGATTTAGGGTAAGGATGCGTCTGGATTCTTCTCATTGTTTCAACGTCTGACCTAGTTTTTCTCGAGCATGTGTCTCGCTCACTGCGTCACAAACGGTGATCTTAGCTAGCCGTGGAAAAAAGGGCATAACAAAAATTCAAGAAGGATCTGTCTACAGTCGAAACATCTTCAGTTCGAACTACAAAGGACCAGCGAAAAAATGCGAGTTGGGGAACCAAGCCTTTTTGTTTGGAAGAGAAAGGAATAATTGCAGGAAATTGTAATGCATATATTTTGGGCTTTGAATTGCTTTTTAAATGAGTTGACAGGATACTGAACCTTGCGGCAAGGGTTTGTTTAAACGAATAGTTTTACACTTCCTTTAAAAATGCATCAGGTTGAAATGCTATTGCTTTTCTCTTTCGTGTGTCAAGAAAACAATAGCCGGAAGGCCTCCAAAAAATTCGAGTTATTGAGGTTTGAAGGGAGAAGTCTCTGCGTCAGGGAGGTTCTACGTACATTTTTCCCGAGGAAATTCGGCATGGGCTTGAAAAAAAAAATTTGATATTGGGATGTATTTGACTCGATGAGGTTCAACTTTTATCATAATTGCGCAAGAAATTCCGAGACGTTGGGGCGTTGAAGTGAAAAGAAGCGGCGAGCACATGATGAAATCGTGAAAAATCAACTGATCAATGAGATCCTTTTTTTTCCCGTAGGCTAAGTGAAGACCGAATACTTCCATTTGGAATGAAGGATAACTTTTGGGAAATGGGAGAAACTGGACCTTGTGGCCCGTGTTCCGAGATACATTTCGATCGAATCGGAGGAAGAAATGCCGCTCATCTAGTGAATCTGGATGATCCAGACGTGCTCGAAGTTTGGAATCTGGTCTTCATTCAGTTCAATCGAGAATCCGCTACTGAGCTGAAATTATTGCCGAAGAAGCACATTGACTGTGGACTCGGGTTTGAGCGACTTGTGTCGGTTCTGCAAGGAAAGCGTTCCAATTACGATACTGACGTGTTTATGCCGATTTTTGATGCTATTGAAAAGGTGAGATTAAGAAGTTGCACCTAATTTGAATAACGTGTAATAGTTTCCCCGAAAGCATCGTCTATTTGTAGGTGTTTTTTCGTTGCAGACGGTCATGAAGTTGGCATGTTTTAAACGAATTTATTAGTGGAGAGACGAAATGACAGTAATGACAAATTTTAAATGCAGTAATATGCATTTCCCTATAATCTGTGGAAAATTCGCGGAGTAGAATTCTTCGCCGATTATCTGCTACCTTTCCAATTTTAAGCTTCGAACAAGAATTAAAATCTGAATCTAACTTTCGGTTTCGAGCTCATTTTCTAAAACTATGAAGTAGTCGTTCTTTTACTTGAAATTGTGCATCTGAACATTTTTTGACGTTTTTCTAGGTGTATCCTTTTTTTATGCCCTTGAATCTAACGTACGGAACATGCGAACACAAATAAACCCCGCGATTGGATTCGAAAGCAATTCAAGCGAATCCCGGAAAAAATGCGAATTTTCCGTTCTTGTATTGTTGGTAACATTGTTTGTTGAAAATGTTCTGGACCTTTCTGCGAGAAGATCTGGCTCCTTTTTTTTTCGAGGAATCGGGTTGTTGAAGAATTGTCAATTCTTTGTCTGAGTCCTTTCTAAACAATCCATCGAAAACCTCCCTGACTCAAAGGCTTTCCTTCTCAAATTTCTATTGCTCAAATTTTCTGGAGGCCTTTTGGCTGTAATTTTTATTGACACCTGAAAGAGAAAGGCAATAAAAAAGTAAAGTGGTGTGTTCTGAAAGGAAGTGAAAGACGAATTTTTGAAAATAAACCTTTGCCTCGAAGTTCAGCATCCTGTCAACTCATTCAAGAACCAATCCAAGGCCCAGAATATTACCAAGTGCAATTTCCTGCAATTATTTGTTCTCTCTCCCATCAAAAAGTCATTTTTCTCTTACTCAAAAATTCCCTGACTCGAATTTTGTTACTGATCCCTTAAAGTTTGACTTGACAAGGTCTGACCTCATTTGATTCTGTGCTCGATTCGAAGCCATTTCAAAGATAATTTTTGTCTTGGTCAAATTCGAGCGGATATTGATGACGTATCAAACGGTCGCTGGATTTGTGGGTGAATCGATCCTATTCGAGCATTACCAAGAGCGTCTACATTTTTCCGCCCTCGAGAAAGAAATTTATTACAATTTCCTGTAAATCTTCTTTCTCTTCCCCTCAACAAAAATGCTTGTTTCCTTCACTTTATATCTCCCGAACTCAAACTTTTTCGCTCACTTGAAGTTCCAATAAAAGAGTACAGTACAGTACAGTATTTTATACTTGATATACAGTACAAACAGCTGCATCAAATTATCAGGTACGTGTTTTGTTGTTCTTCTTTCTAATTTTGCCATTCATGAAAATGAACGTGACTGGATCTTTTACAATCCGTTTTTGAGAAGCTATTCATGATTACCATGTCTTCATCCATGAGTTGGAAACGAGCCAAGTAACGCTTCGCCAAGTAACGCTTCGCGTTGTATGCTACGAGCTGCGTGTTTTTCCGGACAGGTTGGAATTCCTTTCTGAATTTCAGCGCGTTCTTTCAGGCTACCGGGTGTCGAAAGTATTCGGGGAGAGTCGGAGAAGAGGATGACGATGGCGTGGACATGGCGTACAGGGTGGTGGCAGATCACGCAAGAACATTGACCATTGCTTTGGCTGATGGAGGTCGACCGGATTCCACCGGAAGAGGGTAATTTGAAATCTATACAATTTCTTCGCCACAATTTTTGTCGGGTTTCTCTTGTGATTCCGGCATTTTTTCTTTAAAGATATGTTTTGAGGAGAATTCTGCGTCGTGCCGTGCGATTCGCCTCGGAAATTCTGAAAGCGAAACCTGGAACATTCTCTACGTTGGTTCCTGTTGTTGTGGACCTGCTGGGTGAAACCTTTCCTGAGGTAATGGACATTTTAAAATGTTGGGCCCCATTTTAAACGAGAATGCATTTTCAGAGTTGGGTTATGAAATAAATCTTGTCCTGTAAGACTGTTAATTTTCTGTTAAACCTCCTATAAAAAGAGTCCATTTTTCGATTTTTAAGAAATTGTAGCAGTTTTTTACGTTGGTTTCTTTTTTTCATCTGTGGTACTCAATAAATTTATTTTTGGTCTCAGGAGACCTTCTATCAGTTCTCACCTGTGCAGTAATTCTCTGTTCACAATTTTTATTTTTGCCTTCCTAAATTTATTTGAGAGTGGAATGCTTACGGTTTTTTTTTTTTTAAAGGTAAAACCAGATGAACGCGTCTCCTGGGGGTCTTTTAATTTTTAATGTTTTTTTAAAGGAAAAGGTGTCTTCAAATAATGCAGTATAAATATTCATCGGTTACAGCATTTGAGAAATTGCTCGAATCGAAGCCATACCAAAAATAATCATTTTTGTCTTGGTCAAAATCGAGCAAATATTGACGATTACGTTTCAAACGGTCGCTGACTTATTGGTTTCATCGATCCTATTTCAGCACTACCAAAAGCGTCAACATTTCTGTATCGCGAATTTAGTTTGTTACTTCAGGTACTTTTTGCATCGAAGAATGATCCGTTGAAACATGATGGGTCACGAAATGTTGTATCTTTTTTTAAATTATTGCACCCCCCTTGTTTTGGCAAGATATAATTCTGTTGAGGATATTTTTTTGCTGTTCGAATCTTCGGATAAAAGCAACGGGTTTCTCAAGAAAAATTGGCGTTTGGGTATTTTGCAGGGATGAGTCTTCACACAAATTTCTCACCAAAAAACTGGAGTCGAGTAAATACAGTACTTCTGCCTGTCTAAAATTTTAGTTTCTATCTGAAATCAAATCAACCTTGGCATGCATCCTCCCTGAGCGCGTGATTAACATTAAGGGCTTATTATTGCGTCGAATTCTGAATGTTGGTGCATTTCCAGTTGAAGAAAGATCCCGACACGACCATGGAAATCATCAACGAAGAAGAGGAGCAGTTCCTCAAGACCCTGTCCCGCGGTCAGCGTTTGCTGGCCCAAACCATCTCCAAACTCGGCTCCAACAAAGTCCTGCCCGGGGAAGTCGCCTGGAAACTTTACGACACCTACGGCTTTCCCCTGGATCTCACTCAACTCATGGCTGAAGAGCACGGTCTACGAGTCGACGACGTTACGTACGAGAATTGCAAGAAGCAAGCTCAGTTGGCGTCTCAGGCCAAAGGTCCCGGCGGAACCGACTTGGTGTCCCTGGACGTGCACGCCATTGCCAAGCTGAAGGACATGGGTGTCCAAGTGACTGACGACTCTGCCAAGTATGCCTACAAGGCCACTTCGGAGTCCCCAGACGCTGAGTACGAGTTTGATACGATCGACGGGACAGTTGTTGCGATTCGTCTAGGCAAGGACTTCGTTGAATCAGTCTCGGAAGCTGACGGAATGTTTGGCATCGTGCTGGACAAGACTGCTTTCTATTCGGAAGCCGGAGGACAGATCTTCGACACTGGCTACATGGTCAAAGTGGGCGATGATGAGACGGAGTTTTGCGTGGAGAATGTGCAGATGCGAGGCGGGTATGCGTTGCACATTGGGAAATTGGCGGGAAGCAGCAAGGTGTGCGTGGGAGATAAGTTGCAGTTATTTTTGGATGGGCAGAGGCGGAAGTTGGTGATGAATAATCACACTGGAACTCACGTCTTGAATTTCGCCTTGAGGAAAGTCCTGGGAACTGAAGCGGATCAACGAGGCTCACTCGTTGCTCCCGATCGACTGCGTTTTGATTTCACCAACAAAGGTATGGCTCACTGTACAACGAAATTTTATGTACATTATAACGAATTTTTGTGTGCTCCCATAGGGTTTTCTACGACTGATTTTATTTTTCTGATCCCTTGGATTTCGTTGTAAAGAGGATCCAACTCTATAAGCCCTAAATCTTTCATCCGCGACATTAAAATTCCATCAATTGTCGAATGCAGGTGAAGAAGAAATTCCTGGTATCAGAAAAAAATACGTCGTAGAAATCGTACTACAGTACAACAATCTCTAATCGTTGTAGACACCATTTTTGTAGAGAGGGTCCACCTGTATAAGCACTCATTTATTTTTCCTGGCGTTTGGACATTCCAGGAACCTAAAATTTCTTGACTCTAATTATGATTTTCCCCGGAGAAGGAAAAACGTTGTCACACAACCCTTTCTCTCTCCTTGCAGTCAATGATTTGTGCATCTTGAAGTGGCAAAAGCTGACTATTTCTTGATTCTTTTTAACATTAATTTGAGAACACTGAAGTAAAGATGGGTTTGATCGTTTTGTGGGCCGCAAACAGGAAGATTTCGGAATACAGGAAATACTCATATTCACTGGAATTTCATAAATATTCAAATATGAGTACCCGCCCCCCTTGTTTTTGAGTTTCTAAAATTTTAAGACAAGGGGTACTTATATTCGCGTAAGTACGAGTTGACGCATTTGCAGGTTGTCTTCTACTTCTCGTGATAATGTATTTTCATGTGTCATTCAAAAATTTTTTTTTTATTTCGTAAAATAAAGGTGCGATGAGTGTGAAGCAAGTCGAGGACGCTGAGAAGGCAGCGCAGGAGGTGGTGCAAAAGAATGAAGCGGTTTTTGCGAAAGAAGCTGCTCTTCCTATTGCCAAGAGCATCCAGGGACTAAGGGCCGTTTTCGACGAAACGTATCCGGATCCAGTTAGAATCGTGTCAATCGGTGTTCCTGTGGAAACCTTGGTCGAGGATCCCGCGGGTCCAGCTGGGGCAAACACGTCGATCGAGTTTTGCGGTGGAACGTGAGACAAAATTCCGTTGTTTATTTTATTTTTATTTTAAATGATCGACGAATTATTATCGATAAATCCGCTCGAATCGAAGCCATTTCAACTACTTCATTTGTTGTCTTGATCAAAGTCGAGCAGATATTGAGAAGGGCGTCAAACGGTCGCTGGATTCCTGGTTAAACTTGTACCAATTCAGCATTACCAAGAACGCTCACATTTATCGATCGGATAATTAGGCATATACTGTATCTAAAGTTGCTACGCAATAACGAACGATGACTTATCAACTACTGAAGAAAATTTCCAAATTGTTTGAAAAGTGGGGAGTGCCAGAAGAATGCGGAAAGTTATTAGTTTTCTTATTTTTAGAATTTTTTACTGGTTAGCTGACTAGGGCTTATGCTAGTCTGAGGGTTTATTTTATTTTCCTTAATGATCCCGATAATACCGATCAGGAGTTTGATCATGTGCCAAATCTGTTTTTCTAGATTGACTAGATTTCTAGAGGCAATTTTTCCTAATTTATTCAGTGGAGTTGAGGTTAAGGTTTTCAGAATAGGGAATTTTCCTGTTCTTTTCCTGTGGTGGTAAGAGATCGAACGTCGAAGTGAATGAGTTATTCGTGTTAGTGAATCTGAAAGTAAACTCGGATGTTTCGTCGCAAGTGAAACTGATATACGGTACTTGCAGCAAGATATTTGTGATTTCTTTTTTTTTTCCATGTGTATTCTCTAAGAGTGCGTGTCACTATTCTGACGAAAGATGTAGGAACACTTACAGTTCGAGGATGTATTGAAAGTGTTTTGGTTCGGTTTTCTATGCAGACATCTTCTACGAGCTGGACACATTGGCGCATTTGTGATTGCCAGTGAGGAAGCGATTGCTAAAGGAATCCGTCGTGTCATTGGACTGACTGGTCCTGCTGCAGTCCGAGTACGTTTGTATATAATTTTTTATTGATTTATAATTTTATTTTTGATTGTTTCTGAGCATTGTTTGCTTTCAACAATTTACTTTCCTCGATACGTTGATCTCGATTCAATGCACAGACGCGTGTATATTAATGGTTCTGGCCTTTTTTGTGAAGTGATTGTTCATCTGTTGAGTGGTACAGTAATTCATAGATGGCATTGATTGGTAACTACAGTTGAACTATGATATCTCGAGCCTCCCTAAGTCAAGTACAGCACGTGTCTATGTTAATTTTTTGAGTCCATGCCTGAATTCCTTTAGAAAAAATACATTGAGAACCTCCCCAACTCGAAAGCTTTTCCTAACTCGAAATTTTTGGAGACCTTCTGGCTATTATTTTAGTGACACAGGACAGAGAAACGCAATAAAAATTTAACTTGAAGTGTTTTGAAAGGAAGGTAAAGACTAATTGTGCAAATAAACCCTTTTCTCCAATGTCAGCATCATATCAAATCATTTAAGAAGCAATTCAAGTCTCAGAATATCCTCCATTATAATTTCCTGCGAATCTTCCTTTCTTTGCGAACTCGAAATCTCCTTAGCTCGAATTTTTTCGCTGGTCCATTGAAGTTCGAATTGAAGCCGTTTGACGTTATACTGTATATTATTGTTTTGGAATATTATGGTAGGCCTTGAAAGACGCTGAACGCGTTCAAAAGGAAGTCGATGCCCTGGCGAAATCCGTGTCGTCGTCATCGGAAAATCTGGACCCGGACGCGTTGACGAAATCCATCAACGCTCTGAACGAGGAAATCTCTCAGAAAACGTTGCCCTATTGGCGCAAAGACGCTATGCGAAACCAGCTGCAATCCCTCAAGAAGATATTGATCGACGTGGACAAAGCCCGAAAGAACCAGATTGCCAATGATATGGTCGAAGAGACGAAGGCGTATTTTGCTGCGAATTCGGGAAAACCTTTTTGGGTCCACGGGTTTGCGTCTGGTTCTGCGAAGGCGTTGGATGGGGTATTGAAGCAAGTGAAGGCGTTGTCACCTGACACTGCTGCAATGGTTTTCAGCGCTGATGACTTGGCTGACAAGATTCTCTGTCTGGCGATTGTACCAGGGGTAAAATGTTCATCTAAAAACCTACACAGTTGTAGATTTCACTTGAAGGGATCAAGGGGCTGTTGCACAATAACTTACCACAATACGAAGTTAATGAAAATGTCTGTGTCAGGAAAACAGTGAGACCCCGAGATGCAGACGTAATTGGTGCATCAAGAGTGTCCCTAAGTTGAGTCTCATTTTCCTTTAGACTTACATTGTATAATTTTTAATTGGTGTTCTATGTACAAAAATACTCACCATAATTCCATGAAAATACAAATTGTCTCCCAATTTAAACTGATTCCAATCAATATATTTCAACAGAATATGGGCCTTTGGGGAATTGAATACTGATACCTCTATACAGTACATAGAAATGTCTGCATTCTCTGTAAAAATAATATTCAAGTAAAAAACAGAGAAGGAAGTCCCTCTATGCTGGAGGTACTTTTTTTTAATTAGCTAAATGGATGGTAAATTGGTGAGAGAAATGCCCAAGAACTTTTCTTACATCAATTTTATGGTTGGAAATATCTGTTTCTTGTAATTTGGCCTGAAATTTTTTTTGCAATTTCATAACAGAATGTCCCTATGTTTAGTCAGTGTCCTCATGTTGGTCCTCTTTTTAAAATTTTTTATGATAAAATATGTGTCCCTATGTCAAATTGTCCACAGGTCAAGGTGTCTGCATGTGGGGGTCTCACTTTAGCCAAAAGTAAATGTCAATGAAACACGTGATCAGCCCAGGACAAGGCTGGAAATCTGTGTGGGATTTCAAAATGAAAAGATTAGTGTGTTACACAATGTCCCAAAAATAAAGTCTCAAATTTAAAAAGAAGGGTCCAGAAATACCAGAATATCATAAATTATAATTTTCTGTAATTACAGTATATTTTCTTTCCCAAATCAAAAATGCTTGTTTCACCAACTCAAAACATCCCTAACTTGATTTTTTTTGCTGGTAAAGACAAGATGAAAATACTCAACTGTATGTGAAGATATTGGGAAAATAGCTAATCTCTTGGAAATTTCCTTCTGGAATCCTGGTGTAAATAGTTCAAAAAATGTATATTGATAATTAAACAAAGAAAGAAAACAGCAAGAGCCAAGATAGCAATGCTCGAATGACATCCGAGGTATCAGAAAGGCTTTCAATTGCTTGGAAAAAAATGTGTTCAGTTTCTGTCGAACCTTCGATTTTGCGAAGGAAAATCTCTATTGTCAAAATTCGAGTCCATTGTATGAAACGCTAGAGTCGAAATTGTGTGAGGCACGTAGTTTCTTCTACCGTACTGTATCTGAAGGATGTTTGATTAAATTTCGGTGGGAATTTTGCAGGATACTGTCGAAAAGGGCTTGAAGGCGAACGAATGGATCAACCAGGTCACTCCAGTCATTAACGGCAAAGGAGGTGGAAAGAGTGAGTCTGCCCAGGCTACAGGAAAGAACGTTAATTGTCCACAGGTCAAGGTGTCTGCATGTGGGGGTCTCACTTTAGCCAAAAGTAAATGTCAATGAAACACGTGATCAGCCCAGGACAAGGCTGGAAATCTGTGTGGGATTTCAAAATGAAAAGATTGATGTGTTACACAATGTCCCAAAAATAAAGTCTCAAATTTAAAAAGAAGGGTCCAGAATATCATCAATTATAATTTTCTGTAATTACAGTTTATTTTCTTTCCCAAATCAAAAATGCTTGTTTCACCAACTCATAACATCCCTAACTTGATTTTTTTGCTGGTAAAGACAAGATGAAAATACTCAACTGTATGTGAAGATACAGTATTGGGAAAATAGCTAATCTCTTGGAAATTTCCTTCTGGAATCCTGGTGTAAATGGTTCAAAAAATGTATATTGATAATTAAACAAAAAAAGAAAACAGCAAGAGCCAAGATAGCAATGCTCGAATGACATCCGAGGTATCAGAAAGGCTTTCAATTGCTTGGAAAGAAATGTGTTCAGTTTCTGTCGAACCTTCGATTTTGCGAAGGAAAATCTCTATTGTCAAAATTCGAGTCTATTGTATGAAACGCTAGAGTCGAAATTGTGTGAGGCACGTAGTTTCTTCTACCGTACTGTATCTGAAGGATGTTTGATTAAATTTCGTACCCTTAAAACGTCCTATGACAGCTTTTCCCGAACTTCCGCTTGCTTACCTAGTTGGTCCAGTGAGGTCAGTAATTGCCGTTTCCTCCACCTTTCTCACTCAGACGGGTCCGATGTCCTTTCTTGCAATCCAAGCTCGACGAAGCTCTAACAATCGCCACTTCGTATGCCAGCAAATTCCTGGGTTCCGGCGATGCAGGTTTGCGGATTTTTGCCCAATCGCCTCTGCCTTGGGAACTCGATACTCTCAACTCTGTAGCGATTCTTTCCAATCTTCCTTTCAAACTCGAAACCGGGTCTAAACCCGGGGTCAGTGTGGAGACACTCACGGGGCAATCGGTGCACGGATTCCTCGCGAGCTGTTTTCTGCTTGCTTCCGAGGATTTGTTGTGTCGTGGAAACGGTGCCGGTGTGCTTCAATGGTGCTTCTTTGGTGTCGGCGATTTGAGGGATTGTTTGACGGACTCTGTTTCTGTGGCACGGGTCTTGAAATGTCTTGACGTAGCTTTGGGTTGTTCGGAATTTCTCGCTGGGGACTGCTTGTCGCTTGGGGATCTCGTCTGTTTCTTCGTCTTGGAACACGGCTCCAGGTTTTCTTTCTCTGGTTTAATGATTGGTGTAGGTTTTCGATGTTGTTGTTAATGTGTGCTTTGTTTTTCGTTGAATAATGCAGGTGCGGTTTGAATGTGGACAAGTTCAGCGTCCCGAATGTGAAGAGGTGGCTTTCGAGTGTCGGCGGAAACTTGCAATCGAGAGGAATTTCCAGACAAGGCTCAACCAAAGCGAATGATACACAGCGAAGGAAGCGGAAGCGATGAATTCAAGCGAGGGAAGAATTTATTTTGTGTGAACCCCATCTGTGTCTCATTAAAAGCCTTGATGGTGAAATGTTTTTCTTCTTTCGGTGAAAATGATAACGTTTGCGCGAATGTGAGGTGCGATTTGTTTCCGATTGGAAACTCTCAAAATAATTGGGGCGTGTTCCAGAATCAATGGCAATGTAAAATTCTGATTTTTAGTGAATGAAGTGTAAAGCAGATTAATTTCTCATCAATGTGTCCACAAATCTTCTAGATTAGTTAGAAGTATTATCTGAACTGAGACAAGGACCATTTTAGACAGGAACAAATTGAAACAAAAATTATCTTTAATGAGGATAGGAATTTGCTTATGTTGGTTCAGAAATTTGAGAATTTCCTTGATGAGGAAAACTCACTTGACAGTGATGATGGACAAAAAGAAGAAACACCCTGGGATCATGGACTTTTCACCGAACAGTGCAATTTTTGTTCATTTTCACACCTTAAGCATAAGATAATGAGGAGAAACACAGTCAAGTCATTTTGTCTCAAAACGTATCTGTCTCAAATTCTCAAAATGTTTTTGTCTCAATTCGTCCATGTCTCAAGAAGTTTCAGTCTGAAGTTGTCCCTGTATCCAAAAGTTTCTGTCTGAATTTGGCCCTGTCTTTTTGTCTCAAAACGTATCTGTCTCAAATTCTCAAAATGTTTTTGTCTCAATTCGTCCATGTCTCAAGAAGTTTCAGTCTGAAGTTGTCCCTGTATCCAAAAGTTTCTGTCTGAATTTGGCCCTGTCTTGAATTGGCCCTGTCTCAATTTGTCCTAGATCCATCTCAACTAAATGCAGCAAAAAAAAGGTGAAAAGACGTTGAAAAGTTAGGACGCTTTTTAAAATTGATGGCATCTCAAAATTCGCATAAATGTGTTGNTGTCTCAAATTCTCAAAATGTTTTTGTCTCAATTCGTCCATGTCTCAAGAAGTTTCAGTCTGAAGTTGTCCCTGTATCCAAAAGTTTCTGTCTGAATTTGGCCCTGTCTCAATTTGTCCTAGATCCATCTCAACTAAATGCAGCAAAAAAAAGGTGAAAAGACGTTGAAAAGTTAGGACGCTTTTTAAAATTGATGGCATCTCAAAATTCGCATAAATGTGTTGAATATCCCGTTGAACCCCTTTGAGAAAGCGTTTCCTCAAATAATAATACGCATGCATATTTTTTGCAGGTTCAAAAGAAACCGCATAATTTTTATCCGAAGTTTTTTTTTTTTTTTTCATTCCCTCGTCTTTGAGGGAAGCAAAGTACAATGGACTTTTCGGCGAACCACAAAACAGTGTTGTTATTGGAGCGTGGAGCGTACCAATTGGGAGATTCAGGTGTTGAACATGATTTGAATAAGCTGATCAAGTCCCGCGGAGATGTTGGATTTCCACCGCTGAGGAAAGTTACCAAGTCCGTGTGGACATGCACAGTGGTATCTTCAATGGAGTATGCCAGGATGGTGTGGGATATTTATCCCGGGGAGTTCGACCACTCTAAAAGACAGCAAGTAAGAGAAAAGAAAAAGCTGCTCACTACTTCTCATTAAGCACGTAAGTAGTTATTAGTACTCTTGCATACGTAAACGTCCGCATGTAGAGCCTCCCGATTTTGATGTGAGGAAGTGTCCTTAGGTTCATTTAAGATAAGAAAATTCCGAAGAATGGGCAATGAATGTTACAGTATTTAAATTCGAAGATATCGATCAGTGACGAGGTATATTCAGGAATTTCATTTGTGAAATGACTATCACTTGATAAAATACTGCTTTAAATATGTTTGAAATAAGGGACACCAGACCTCAATTTTAATTAGAATTGATCGTAAAAATTAATTAAAATTTTGTAGATGCTATCTTGTCGAGAAAACATTTATATTATTTCATAACTCATTTCAGACGACAGAAATCACCACCAAGACGTTTTCCTCCGCAGATTTCATTTGTTGTGAACTCGTCTTTCGGATCAAGGTTGAGCTCGTGGGACGTCAAGGATCAGAATTTCCACGTGGTGAGGGAAAAGAAGAAAAACATACAGTACAGAATTGAANGGGAAGCAAAGTACAATGGACTTTTCGGCGAACCACAAAACAGTGTTGTTATTGGAGCGTGGAGCGTACCAATTGGGAGATTCAGGTGTTGAACATGATTTGAATAAGCTGATCAAGTCCCGCGGAGATGTTGGATTTCCACCGCTGAGGAAAGTTACGAAGTCCGTGTGGACATGCACAGTGGTATCTTCAATGGAGTATGCCAGGATGGTGTGGGATATTTATCCCGGGGAGAAGCTGGTGAGATTTTCTGTCGTTCATTCTCTTTTCTTTTTCGACGAGTGATGAAGAGTAATTCGTGCATTCATCAATAATCATGAGAACGTATGCATTTGCAGGCGTACATCTCGGAGGGCTAAAAAATGTGAGGAAGTGTCCTTAGGTTCATTTAAGATAAGAAAATTCCGAAGAATGGGCAATGAATGTTATTTAAATTCGACGATATCGATCAGTGACGAGGTATATTCAGGAATTTCATTTGTGAAATGACTTATCACTTGATAGAATACTGCTTTAAATGTGTTTGAAATAAGGGACACCAGACCTTAATTTTAATTAGAATTGATCGTAAAAATTAATTAAAATTTTGTTGATGCTATCTTGTCGAGAAAACATTTATATTATTTCATAACTTATTTCAGACGGCAGAAATCACCACCAAGACTTTTTCCTCCGCAGATTTCATTTGTTGTGAACTCGTCTTTCGGATCAAGGTTGAGCTCGTGGGACGTCAAGGATCAGAATTTCCACGTGGTGAGGGAAAAGAAGAAAAACATACAGTACAGAATTGAAAGGACTTGGAAATGAGAGGAAAAAAGAATAATGTTGCAATTTTCAAATGAATGACCTGCCATTTGTTCCAGGTGATGAGCACTTTTGCCGAAGTTTTCCGGAATCAGGAAGTTGGTGTTCCGGACTCCGGCCGAGCTCTCAAAGCTGCCCTTGGCTCTTTGTGTTACTCGACCGAGGCACAAAAAGCCCGACTGCCTGCGTCAGCCTTGGTAATGCTCACGATATATATATTTTTTATGTATTCCTGATGCCTTCCTGTTGGAAGTCTGTTATCCGAAACTCCATGATTCGCTTAATGTCTACGGATTGTTGAACAAAACATGAAACGACGGAACCCAGAACAGGTCTTGAATTATTTCTCGTGGAAACACGTCACAGTATTTATTACTCATTTCCCACAAAACTTCAGTCCGAAATGTGTTGAAAACCATAAATTTCAACATAAATTTTTTCTTTATAAAGAAAACCACTCCCAAAAAACGTGACGGACTAAGATAGAAATATAATATTACTTATCAGAAATAAAATGGGTGTCAGTTGAAGTCTCTTTGGTACTGTACCACTAAATCGCGTTCTGATGTTTATTTTGTCGATTTATTTATATATATTTTTTGCAGCCTGCGAACAGAGGAAGGATTGTTTACTTTACGCACATCAACAATTGTGGAGAAGTGAAGAAATTGAAGCAGACTTTCCAGCGTGCTATATCGGATATGCGAGCGTCGGAACACGATGCAACGTTAGTAAATGCAAAATTTTAAATTTTTTTCTAAATTACAGCGTTATTTTTTTATTGGGTTCTGTTTGTTTAGGTTGTTGAGTGTGGATTCTTGTGATTTGGTCGTGATCAACGTGAACAAAGCTGATGAGGTTTCGAAAGCGCCGGATGAAAAATGCGAGGTGAAGCCATTTTTATTTTTTTGTCTGCAACGTTAGATAATTTCAAAAAAAAATTTCAACGTGTAATTCGTTTGATTCTTGGAACTCAAACTAGGACTTGTATTCCGCAATAATATTTTTTATTTCAAGCTCGTGAAATTTACTTCCAATTGTTTAAACTTGTATATTTTCTTAATTTTTTTTGAAAATCTGTGCGATGTAGAGAGCAGGAATAAATAAATATTTTTTTATTCGCGGATGGTCGATAACTGTTGGAACTTCTGCAATATGCAGTACAGTAGATGAGTATTTTTCTTCAAATTTTACAAGAAATTTCGGTCGATGGCATTTCCGTATTCACTCACGTACGAAACGCAATTTTTTGCAAGATGTGACAAGAGAAAACGTCATATTCCAGGATTTCTATCACTCGTTCACATTTGAGTTCAAGAAATATTTTTCCTAAAATGGACTCGTGAACTTTTTAATGCTCGTGGTACTTTGATGGGGGTTTATTTTATGTAGAAGTTTAATTTTAAAGTGCAATACAATTATGTATTTTGACTTTTGAATTTATTATTCTAGCTGGGTCCGAATTGTTCATTTAGTCTCACAGCAGTGTCAGCTGTGAGCCTGGTGGACCGTGTCCGCTGCTTTGCCATGGAGCATTTCGACTTGGCATCCCTCACTGTTACCGGCATTCCGATGAAGGAGGAACACCATTCCAACGCGTCTACCAATTACGATGTCGAGGTGTTCTATCCCAAAATAGCCCACAGAGGTCAAGGTACGGAAGAGGAAATCGGCCAAACTTTTTTCACCACTTCGAAACGAAAATTTTGTTCGAGTAAAATGCACTGAGACCCGTCATAAAAAAAGACCCGCGCAACGAAAACGTCGTATTTAAAAAAGTACCAAAAGTTGTTGGGGGGGGGGGGGGGAACTGACTCGTGTAACGAAATTCTAGCTACTCTTGGGCAATTTTTCCAAAAAATTGAAGATAAGTAGGAAAGGAAAGGCGTAGCTTTGCCAAAATGTTGAAGTTCAAAAAATAAGTGCACGAGCTTGCACAGATTACTTGAATTTATCACTAATGAATTCCATGTTCTCAATTTTTTGCTGAAAACTGGGAGAAAAGACCACGTTTCACAGGTTTATAATGATATTTTTGTCGCTTAATTTATACGGTATTCTCGAGGGGAAAATTTTTTTTTTTTACCGAAATTCCTTAGAACAAAACGGATTACTTTTTTATATGCGTGGACCCACTCTACCTTATTTACCCATGTACCGAATACTTTCATTGGAGATGAAAGTATTTCATTTAATTGTTACTTGTTCTTATTTTTATGAAAAAAAATCCTATTATGGTAGAATCGGTTCAAAAATTCCGATTAGAATCAAGTGTTAGCTGTACGACACGCATTTAAGCTTCGAACATTTTTCAGAAAATTGCATAAGCGCCTTCCACGCGTCATCATGCAGTAACTTAATCTTTTAAGTAAAATGAAAAAGCCAGAACCTACAGCATACTTTTTTTTACAGTCGTACTTACTCTGGAAATAACCAAGGTCGCGCCCAAGTGGGACAACCCTCGCATTCCGAATTTCTCGATTGATGAGACTATATTTTTTGTTGTCCAGACAAAGTAGACCTCCAGAACACGCACAAGAAATCGGGATACGAGACTCTGAAGCTGCGTTGGGTCGCCCCTCCGAGAGGCGACGCGAATTTGACGATTCCCTGCCACTCTGTGTCTCGAGTCACGTTTGCCGAAGTTTTCAGTCGGCCGTCGAATTGCTTGACGAATTTCATTATTTCCGGGCGAGTCGTTATGCTGGAGGCACTCATGAAGGACGGGTCGCATTCCATGTCGCACATGCTGTCTTCTAGAGGCGGCGAAATTTTCATCCACTCTGTGATGGACAGAGCTGACAATGACGACGTGGCTTGTTTGACGGAAGGCGTCGGCGGGAAGTTGACTGACTATCGATCTCAGGTGATTCACTTTTCCCTGCCTCAGCTAGCATTATGTTTTTTTTCTTCACAAATTAATTATAAATCATTGAAAAAAACCAAGTTTGTGGTGTTATCCTGAAAAAGGGCAGAAACACTTTTTCCTCTTAATTCTTCTTAATCACCCAAATCCCAATTTCACTCTTTCCTGTGAATGATGAGAGTGGTTACTGTTCCAGTTGAGGCTTTTGGCCTTCACTAGATTATTGATCTAGTGCAATTTTCCCCAACCCCATGGTCTGCAGAAGTTTTTTGCCAGTCTGTGGGGAATTTTCAGCATAATACTGTACATTTATCAAAATCAGCAACAAAGTCTTCATCAAAAATGTTGTGATGAAAAAGGCAGGTGGAATTATTTGAAGAAGAATAAAAGCCTGCTTTCCTTCTAATTACACTTCAGACAAAGTCCCACCTGATGAAATAAATTTTTTTTATTTTTCATTCTGAGAAACCTTTCTGCAAGCCACCTTTCTAATTTTTTGATGACATTCAGCTGTAGCTGATTCATTGATAATCGACTTAATTTTTGCAAAATAGCAGGCACTTTTAAATACCGGACATAAAGTCTTTCAAACACAACTCTATTGATTTTTTAAAGATTTCATGAAACTTTTGCTGGTTTACAGACAATTTTTGAAAATTTGCCAGTTGGGGAAAAATTTTTTTGGAAATTTACAGGTCCTCAAAAACTTTTTTGGGGGATTTGCCAGTGCACAAAACATTCTATGGAAATTTGCCAGTCTGGGGGCCAACAAAGGTTGGGGAACGCTGATCGAGTGTGCTCCTCCCTTTGCTGCATAGCTATCATCTAGGATTCTAGGTTAGATACAATTCTATTTCATTGTATCTCTTGAGTCCCACATTCATGGTGTAGTAATTTTGTACTTGAACCTTATTGGGGTCAGGAAATCAGAGCATAGGTGTGTCCTCTTCCTGATTTCCTCTCTGCCTATTTGAATGGAATATTTTAATGTAAATCATCAGATCCATTCTAGAGTCCTAATACTAAAGTAAGGAATAGCTACCCTTTAGACTTTTACTTGAAAGACTTGTAGTTTGTGTATCTCAGTCCTTTGGGCTTGAAACCTGTTGTGTATTGTATTTCTTGGAGTGCCAATGCATTTATAAAGATTGTACAGTATTATACAACACTCAACTCACAGTCCTTTTCTTAGTGAAGGAATTTTCCTGCTAAAATCAGGACAACAGCGTTCTCGAACTCAAGATGTTTTTATCCTGTCTCTCAATTTTCATAGTGACTAAAATGAATTCTTTTCTGCCAAAAATGTGAACAACTTGAACACTCACAACCAGGGACTTGGAGCGGAGCTGGAGCCCGGAGCAGAGCGATTTTAGCCGGAGCGGAGCAGAGCCCGGAGCAGGCAAAATTTTTGGCTGCTCCAGGCCTCAAATAAAATTTGAAAACTTTGGGGAGAACCCCCAGCCATATGTGACTGTTTGGCTGGCACCAGTCAACAAAACTACCTCCCTCCAAGGCAGTCAAGTCCTCAAACCCTGAACAATCTTCCCCTTGTTGCTCTTATTAGGTTGAGNGCACATTGATAACTTGTTGCTGAATATGGTGAAAAGAGTGATGTCTCCGAGTGACGTGAATGAAGCCAAAAGAATCATTTACGAGATCCACCAGTTGGAGAAAAAGGGCGAACTGGCGCATATTTTTCCGAGTACAGCTAAATCAAAAAGTGTCAAGAGGTTGGTGTACTTCATCGCTACAGAAATCTTCTATAATGTCAAATATTTTAATTTTTTTCTCGAGGAATGGTATCGTTGAAGTTGAAGAAATTCTTATCCGCGGAAGATTTTTTAACCTCTTGATTTGCATTCACGGCAGTTCAGAGTAATTTTCGCAGAAAAAATTTGGTTTCATTTAGCATAAATGACTTGAATCTTCCAAAATGGGATTGTGATTCGAAATTTGTTTTTGGTTCTTCGCATTTTAATGCAATGCCCGACGTTCGCAAATGTAGGTTATTCTTTACCAGAATATAGATATCTCCAGATTCCTAAGTTTAAATAAGAATTTGATCAAATGTAAGCAGTCTTCCGGACGAAAAATTTCGTTCTGTGAGTCGCTTTTTCCTGCGTAAGAATTTTCGTTGTGCCAATTTTTCGTTATGCGGAGACTCGCTGTGAAATATTATTTTTGGTTAGGTCAGTACGTCAGGCGGACGACGATCTTTTTGAAGTTTTAAAATGGAGGTTTTTTTTCGCTAAATTCTCATTTATTTCTCTTTTTTTAGGGATAGTCAGTACAAGGACGTTTGGGATGAGATTTTCGTGTTCGTTAAAGCCCATCAGCGGTCGAAAGGGCATCGAGAAGTTCTCGAAGCGCTGAGAATGATGCGAGGAAGCGATGGTCCAGACGGTTCTTCAGACACCAACGCCGAAAGGTTCTGCTTTAATTTCTTCAAAGAAAAATCAAATACAGTGAGACCCCGAGATGCGGACATAATTGGTGCATTAAGAGTGTCCCTAAGTTGAGTCTTGTTTTCCCATAGACTTACATTATATAATTTTTAATTGGTGTTTTATGGGAGAAATATTCTTCAGAATTCCCTGGAAAAAATGGTTTGCCACTTGAATTTGAATTTGTGAATACATTTTCAACTCAATAGGAACCTTTGGAGCATTTAATAGTGTATTTCTGTACTATACATTGAAATGTTGGCAACTACAAAAATAACATTCAAGTGAAAAAAAGTAGAAGTCCCTCTATGCTGGAGTTAATTTTTTAAAATAGCCAAATGGTTGGTAAATTGGTGAGAGAAATGCCCAAGAACTTTTCTTACATCAATTTTAGGGTTGGAAATATCTGTTTCTTGTAATATGGCCTGAAATGTATTTGCAATTTTATCACAAAATGTCCCTATGTATAGTCTGTGTCCTCATGTTGGGCCTTTTTATCAATTTTTTTTATGGGAAAATAAGTGTCCCTATGTCAACTTGTCCGCAGGTTGAGGTGTCCGCATGTGGGGGTCTCACTAGTTCATCCTCAATAACTCAAACCTCCTGACATTACTTACCTCCTGATGCATTTTTTCCCCATCTGAATTCTTTCAGAAACAAGGCATGAAAAACCTTCCTGACTCGAGCGCTTTTCCCCTCAAACCCCAATAAACCAAATTTTTTGGCGACCCTTTGGATATTATTTTGTTGACACAGGAAAAAGAAAAGCAATAAAAATGTAACTTGAGGTGTTTTGAAAGGAAGTGAAAGACTACTTTGGCAAATTAACCCTTGGCTCCAAGCTCATCATGCTGTTGACTCATTTAAGAAGTAATTCCAGACCTAGAATGTCACCAATTACAATTTTCTGTCATTCTTTTTTCTTTCCTGCGACAAAAATGCGTGTTTCCCAATTTCGAATTTTTTTTTCTGGTCCCTTGAAATTAGACTGGGAGGTTTGATTGATTCTCATTCCAGTAAGTTTCTCTGTGAGAATTGGTCCAAAAACCCAAATGAATCTATGCCTAACAATTCAGCTTCCTTTCAACTTATTTCAGAAGCAATTCAAGGCCCACAATATCACCAATTAAAATTTCCTGATTCATTCCTTTGAGATTTTGTCTCAAAGCCTTCTTACTACATATTTTTTTCACTGGTCTCTTGAAGTTCCGCTTAATGAGGTTCGACTGCGTTTTATTAATTTGTATTTATTTGTTTGTTTAATTTTCGGGAAAATCTTGTGCAGGACGTCGAAACGGCGCCTCCATGACGGAGCAACGAAGCATGGCAAACAAATATTCACCTTCACCAGCGACGGGAAAACGTTGCTGGAGGAGTGGAATGCTCGGATCATTGCTGAAGATCATTCGAGGACCAGAGAAATGCCTGGCAAATCCCGACCAGGCGTAGCTGGAGAACGACTCTATCCAGCTTTCAACACTAACAAAGAAGAAACGGAGGCCTGATGAGGCATCTTCCTCCTAGCTTTAATTTATTTTCTGTTTTTTTATATGAGGTTGGATATGATGTGTACGAGCTGCTCAACATTTTTTTCTAATTCTTGAAACGTCACGTTTTGGAGCCTTGTCGTGCGTGACGTGAGTTTTTTTCTTACTTTTTCCGCAGATGTGCTTTACTGAAGAAACATAGCTTTCGATTTTATTTATTTATTTTTATTACTGTGACGGAAAATGTCTTCACCACCGGATGTGATTTTGCTGGATCGTGGCAATAACACCACGTGCTCTGTGAACCTACATGGTGAGTCTTTCGCCAGAAACCTGTCTTAACTCTTGATTCGTGTGAAATTTTGGTGTGGATTTCATCGAGAATGTGCTAAGTAATTTCCTGTTGTTTTTTCATTGGGCATTTCTCGTTGGAGCTCGGTGTTATTGATTTTGGGGTCTCCGTGATAATGAGTTGGTGTTGTCTAAATATTTATTTCACTTCTTTTGTAAGTTAAGTTATATTGAGATGTACTTGCATTGAGCTCTTTTTTTGGCTCAAGTGGAGTTGGATTAAATTAGGTTGACTGAGGTATTTTTTTTTTTTTCGATGTCTTTTTCACGTTTTGTGAAAGTCATTCTTGCTAAATTGTCAGATACTGTATTGCAGAAAAGGAAGTTTATTGATGACGTTCATATAACCCTGATCTTATGAAGCTGAAGGGAAAAGAAAAAATAGTTACTATGAATTACGGTTGTGGAAAACTAAATTTGTATTGTGGCGGAATACATGCGTAAAGTGGCGCATCAAATAATTCATTACTGTAAGAAATTGTTCGATATCCGAATTCTTTCTCACGAAGAACGATTCCATTCGAAAAGTGAAGAGTTTTGATTATCGAAGCGCTCTGGAAAATCTCAATCGACCAGCTGCTTCTAGCAATTGCGGAAAAACATTCTAGTGTAGTTGGAAATATGCAGTGCTGTATTTTACTTGAATTTTGTTGATTGATGATGATGAAGGAAAGGGATTCGTGATGGAAGTTTGCTTTTAGGGATTCGATATCGCCGAGTTACCAATGAAAAATTTTAAATTCGTTGAAGTAAGAATATAAATGATGAATCAAGTTTCTCGTAGCTTACCACGAACAAATTCAAACACGAACTGTTCATTTCGCAATTTTCCGTTGCTTGAGATCATATTTAAATTTCGTGACGTGCTTGCCATGGGTTGAATTTAATTTTGCATCCTTCGGAAATCATTTTCCTTCTTTTCAGGAGCGACGATTGTTTCTTGGAGAGTGAACAACCAGGAGCAGTTGTTTGTGAGCAAGCAAGCAGTTTTCGACGGGAAGAAAGCGATTCGAGGAGGCGTCCCGTTTATTTTTCGTGAGTGAAGCTCTTACTGAACTTCGATTCTAACCCATGAAACAAAATTGAAAGTGAATTGATCGTGATTTTTTTTTTTTTTTAGCGCAATTCGGAGCTTGGCATCTTGGTCCACAACACGGTTTCGCACGAACTTCCACATGGACTCTCGAGTCGCCGCCGGAAAGGCTCGAGTCTGGGGATGTGGAAGCTATGTTTTCGTTGACCGATTCCGAGCACACGAGGAGCATGTGGAATTTTCCGTGAGTCAGCAACGGGTGTGGAATTTTCTGGTTGATTTACTGTGGGGACCCCGAGCTGCGGACGATTTAACTTGGGAGGACACCCACTTGGAACTTGAAAGATTTGCCGCGGCATTAAGAGAATGTTTCGGGATCCGGACGTTGCCAACATTTATGAGAAATGGAAGTTTTTTGAAATGTTATCTCTCTTGAACTTTTTGAACTATTTATATTCATGAAAATTTAAAATAAATCTTTAAAAAATTCTCCAATTATTAATCTGGAACAGGCCGTTTTTGTGCTTCTCTTTGAAGTAGTATTTCCCCCATCATATGTGCGCAGTACAGCAAAACATATGCTTGTTCTTTTGTTTTTTTGGGCTCCTTTTCATCCTGTAAGAGCAGATTGTATTTTTTTCCTTGTCAAAATCTTGGAATAAAAAAAGTATTTACTGATTTGGGGGACTTCTTCCAAGCTTTTGTCGAACAGGAGAATCAAGTTTATTTGTACCTATTAAAGCTTGTGGGAAAACGTGATCTGACCTGCAGAGATTCTGACATGGTCAATACATGTGCATTTGGGGCCCCATGGTATGAAAAAATCAACGAA